GAAGGAAGAGATAAAAAAGGAAAAAAAGAGAGGGGAGTTAGGAGTTATCAATCTACCAATCAACATTTTATGCAAAAGATAGCAAGAGTATTAGAAAAATTTCTTTGAGTTAAGCTAAATTAATCAGTTCTGAGAAGCAGCAGGAAATATGTAGAAAACAACTTGTGGATTTATTTCCTCTAAGTGCTGTTTACTTGTAATTAGGAGGATAGAGGAAGAGATGTCCTATATGACACCTATATGGGAACCAGACACACAACAATATAGAAAGTCAAGCTATTGCACTTCGATTCTTAGAGAAAGAGGATCACTAGTTACATTCAAGATTCATGGTGTTAAACCAAAATCTTTAATATATTTTCCAACCATTTTATATTTTTCCTTCTGTGTCAGTTGTTTTAAGATCTTGCCTGTTAAAATTATTTTTATTACCTTCGATTAAAAAAAAAAAAAAAAAGCCACACGTTTATTTCAGGAGGAGTATTTGTAGCGTATGAGTTCATTAATTTTAACAGCAAAGCAACAAGACCTTATCTGGTTTATTAATTACTTAGGTGCCTCTTGTACACTCACATATTCAGGCCTACCTCACGAAGGTGTTCAATATGTTTTCTTATGGAATTCTACTGTTGTTAAATTCTACACAAAAACCCTTAATCTAGTAGCCAATGCTCCTATCACCTATAGATGCACCAAATCAACCAGGTGATATTCAAGACATCATTGCTCTCAGAACCACATATATCTGGCAATATCCATCGCGAAACTATACTGACACATCCATCAGGCCTCTATTTTTGCTTTACTGCTCTAAATATAACTGTATCCAAACACAAAATGAACAAAATGAAAAAGTCCTAATAGAACTGCCTTCTATAGCAATGTTAGTTTTAATATAGAAGCAGGAAAGTACCTTTCTTTTTTTTAGCTTAATATTTGTATTATTACAAAGCTAAGTGTGCCATGCCAGACCCACTGATAAACAAGAAGCTAGAATTTTACTGCATCTACTTTGTCTAAATCACTTAATTCAGCAGTAAGATCAGGTTCAGGATTGGGTATTAAACTTGTTTCTACAAAATTCCCCAATGAAGTCTGATCCCCAAAATATCTCTCAAATTGAACATATCATGGGTATAAACGAGGTAAGTAATAAACCACTTTCCAATTTGGAGAAATATGTGACAATCTTCCAATTGCTCAAAGAAACCACAATATCCACTGAGAGCTTCTTTACTGTGTGTACTCATTTTTTCAGTAAATAGAATGCAATTACTCCAGAGATTGCTGGAAAATGAACTGGGGAAAATACTTTCCAGTGGGGAAAAAGAGTGTCAAGAGGACAGTGGGCATGCTGTCAAACAAGCCTGGCCACCAGAAGGACTTTCAGCCCTGGTATGCCACCTGGAATGAGAGGAGCATAATGATGAATGCACCAGGAGAAGGTCTAGGCTGTGTGACAGTTCTTACTGAAGCAAATTAATACAAGAAACCTCTCTTGTAATTTCTCAAAAGCACAGGCAAAATTAAATATTACTAGCCTTGAGCTAGATATTGCTAATCCTGAATGAGGGGCTAGGCCAGGCCTTTCCTCAAAAGGGATGGAAATGGAAGACAAAAGCCTCAGTGAGAAGAACCTGCTACTTCTGTAAGTGAAGTATGGAGTGATGAAAAGGGTGGAGAAGCATCTAGCTGCCATACCTCACATCTGAGGTTTCATATTCCCTTGACTTGGCTCCCCTTGGCAGCTGAGGCACAGTCTGTCAAGGACTGACAACACTGTGGCCTAGCAAAATACAAAACAGGGGTACAGTCATATATTGGGTGAGACACCTGAAGGCTTTTGGAACAGCCACAAAATTTAAACTCAATAGTGAAACTGACTTACAATGGAGATAAAGTTATGGCTCAACACAGAGAAGAGGACCTTCTCTATTTACATGGAAGGAATGTTAATTTTGGCTGAATTTCTACAAGTCCGTCAGTCATTTCTGAGCAGCAGTGAATTAAGAGAGAAAATTCTTTTGAGACTATGCAAGAACATCAATCTGATTAAAAAAAAAAAAAAGACTATCAAACTGAAGATACCTGTTTAGTGTTGGCAGAAGGAGAAAGAGTGCAGCTTTTCTTCTCTGCAATGCTTTCTGAATTCACGCGTAAAATATCTGACGTAACCTGAAAGAAAAATGTTAAATATTAATGTTTTCCTGATGAAGAACTTCATAATTGAGCAGATAAAAAAATATATTTCCCAGCTACCACTTCTTAGTTCGAATGCTGAGCTCTGAGGGAAGTATTTATAATTCTACTGATATCTTCTTCCTCAGAGAAATATGAAAATTCTGTGTTCTGCAAAATACTACTTTCCACATCGAGTAAATCTGATTAGAAAGGAGAGAGCAAATTCTGCTTTCCCTTGAGAGAAGGAGGAATGGTTGCATTCAGGATGGTTGCATTAGAAATACTGTGGTAACAAGCCAGAAGGAACACTGGTATGTGTATGAGTATGAAAACAAAGGAAATACAGTGCCATGCAAGATGACATATAGGTAAGGAAGAGAAATGGAGAACAGCAGCAACAGTCTGGTGACTAAAATGGAAAATTATTTTCAGAGACGATCACCAACCTCATCACCTGACCAGAGCCTACTCCATGCAAAGGTGAGTAAAAGGAAGGCTGAGACAAAGGGAGACAGGAAGAACATGGAGTTTGGTTGGGAGGTAGAGGGGGACTAAAAAGGAGAGAGGAATAAATGAGTACATAGATTACACTGATGACACCAATCTTAAGGGAGGCTCTAGACTAATAAGCAAGTTTTTTCAGCAGTATACCAAGTGTTTTAAGAAACAGATTTCTAGTCCAGAAAATCTAACTAACCTTTTGCCTTTGTTCCCCTGCTTTGTCTTTAATAGCATCCGTACATACATCTTGACCATTTCCTGTTTCTGCTTTTTGTACTGCAGCCAACTCTTCAGCAAACGCACCTTTCTGTCATGTAAAAATAAAATTAAATAAGGTAGCAATTGGTAATTATACACTGACTTGCATTCTGAACAACACAGGATTAAAAAAAGAAACAAAATCTAATCTATAACATATTATCAGAACAGGTGTAAATTTCTTATGGAGATATATTCAGCAAATATGATTCATTTCAAGATAAGCAAAGACCACTTTTTTTCAAAGCTGAAGGGAACTTTTCTGAGGTGGGGAAAACAAAGGATATCACAGACAGATGACCTCAAACAGTTGGCCAAGAATCTAAGGATATTAAACAAATTTGTACCAAGAATAACTAAGGGAAAACAAAGGACTAGGAAAGTCAAACTACTAGGAAAAAACGAGGATAAAGAAAAAAACATCCATCAGAAAGACATTTTGGAAGGTCAAGACTGCAGAGGAAAGAATCATTTGGGAATCCCTAGAATGTTCAAATTTGTCTAAAAGGTGGCAAGAGGAAAAGGTCTTCTATGCATAAAACAAGCAGCTGGAATATCAATTGACTTTTTACTCCATCCCTCTACTTCTCAGACAGATAGTCCATATTCATTGTGATTTAACTCAGCTTTCACCAGCTACTTGATCAGCTACACCAAGCTTCTTGGCTAATACTTAGCCTAGCTTAAATCTAAAAGACTGCACAACTTCTTGCAAACAAGTACAAATATAGAAGAAATCTGGAAAGGCATACAGTACTTTATGAAGACTTCACAAATTCTTCAAAATTGTTATAACATATCTAGAGATTTCAAAGAATATCACAGTAGTACCAGCCAAGGAGAAACAGAAGTTCCATTGTTACAGTTTTATGTATTTCACATACTCATAACCAGCAGGGTATAAGCACTTAAGCTAGCATTCGGATTCAGAAATTGAATCCGACAGTCTTAACATTTCTTGTTAATCTTGACAGTCTTAACATTTCTTCCATTCATTTGTCCAATGACTTCTGAAACTCATTTATACTTTTCAAATCTCTTAGACAGCTTTTAAGGTAATTCCTGAGTGTTACTCAGACCTTGTATTATTAGCAATAATGAGTAACTGCACCACAGATAAGTGAAAGAACATTCAATATCAACAAAAGCATGATATCTAAATCTAAATATATTAATTCTTAAGTTCACAAAAGAATTACCCCATCACCTATTGTCACATCTGGCACATTTCTGATGCATTCCCTTTTTTGGAGTGGATGATGGAGTAAACTGAGTCTTTACTAAGAAGTTTATCTGCAGCCTGCTGCCTTGCCATAATTCTTCCTAAGTTGATATGTTCTAGTTAATCATACTTAACTAAAAGAAGCTTATCAGAACATGTTAAAAGTACTGTTCCAGACACTAGAGCTGATATTTTGATGCAGTTGCAAAATAATCCAAGTAAAAGAAAAATACCTGAATCTCCTTAAGTTGTCTCAGAGATCTACATAACTCATCAATAGAATTAAGAACCTCTTTGTACTTTGATATGGTTTTTTGAGCATATTTCTTTCCTTCTTCAATACCTGTAAAGGGAAAATAGCATAAAAATAGAATATCTCAAATAGATGCTTAGCAATTAATGTAATTTGTAATCCCACAATACTACAATAATACTAATCTAAGTTTAGTTTTGCTAAAGGAGTTTTATGATACAGAACAAATGTGCTTTTCTACCTATTATTACCTTAGTTCAGATGGACCTTCACAGACTCTGCAAAAGTAGTGGAGTGGGAAAGCATTTTTCCATGTAAAAACTTAATGAACACAAAGCAATTCCTTTCTCCTACTCTTTCTAATGAGCTGGTGTCAGAAATCCACTCTTCCAGATCTTTTATAAATAGGAATGTTTAAAATATTTGACAGATAGAAAAAATAAGCGCCATCAGCATTCTTTAAATAGGCTTTTTGACATTAAATTAGAGGCACTTAAAAGCTCTGTTTGACTTTGGTGACATTTCATCAGATTTACTACTTTTCTTTATAGGCTATACCATATCCTTGCACATTCAGATAGATACTTTAGCTTTGGATTAAGTAACTTCAACAAGTACATGAGCAAGGCAAACAGGAAAACTACACGGATCTTCAAATTTGTTGACCCCAAGTCTCATTGGTGAGCAATGTCCCAAATCAAGACAACTGCAAATAAAGTATTTACAGAACAGTCCATATTTTGTGTTAATATAATACTTAAGAAGTTAACAATCAAATATCACTAGGTAATGGCAGTGTTATTGTAAAAGACACACTCATCACGGAGAGTAGCATGGTAATACACTTTGAATTCAGAGGCTTTCCTGTCAGGAAATAGCACAAGCCATGAAGACTTATTTCCAAACTCATAAATATTACAAGGACATCCATGCTTAAATCTCGAGGTGACCTCAGACTGTATACAGATAACATATCAACTACCAGCTTTCCAGTATTTTTACTTTTGTTTTTTTTTAAAATAACTTGTTCTGAAATACTTCATCTCTCTCAGTCAATCCTCAATACTTGGTTTTTCATGGTGTTTTCTTCTTAAATAAAAAAAATAGGAAATCCACTTTCTCCTATCTTATGTTTTTTCCACAGTACAAGATAGATCCTCACCATATAATCGCTTAGCAAGCTCCGTAATCTCCTGAATTTTTTCTTCTTGTTGAGGCACTGTGGGCTCAATAAACTTACTGAATTGCTTGTAGAGAGACTCTATTGCTTCTCTTGTTTTACACTCTGAAGAATACTTGTGAACTCTAAAAACTGTTGCACTCGCATCTTCAAACCAAAATTGACACTGAGGTGCATTTGGAAGAATAAAAATACTGCATTAAAAACTATATTATAAAGAATTAAGCAGTTCAAGCTTTTGGAGAATAGACGTGACTATTCTTTAAACTTTCAATAATTAGTGACATGCTGTACTCTTCCTGTAACAATTTAACCTGCAAAACATTTTTTCATTACCAATATTACCATATTCTTTGAAACATTAATAGTTGCTGCATTTTCTTTAAACGTTAGAACCATGTTTGTTTTACAAGCACAGTGATATTCTTTATTGGTTAATGCTTCTGCAAATACACATCTCTCAGTTCTTTCCATCTCAAATATCAGCCGGCTAATTCCCCACACTTCATATCCTGGCCACAGTTTTACCTGTATAAAGGCAGTAAGGTTGATTAGATCTACTCCACTGGAAAACGGGGTTTATTCTCAGAAAACATGACAGTTCTTCAGAGTCTTTCTGCTGACAAGAATGGGCTTTAGAACTCTTAATAATCACTTTTGGTTAACGATACATAGAGTAGGGCAGAATCTGGTATTCACTTCAGCACTATTTGTATTGCAGCTTTATGGCAAACACCTAATAGTCACAATTTTTAATTATCATTAAGATTAGTGTTTAAGACTGGGCCTATCCCCTGAAAGAAAATTATTGAGCAAAAGGTACTACTTTACACTTTTAGAGTAAATAACAATTGAAAGTTTAGCTACAAGGAGGTTAAAAAAAGTAAATGTACAGCTGTTATTAAATCGTTTTGCTAACAATATATGGAATGACACATTTTTCAGATCATTGGACACTGGTAACTTCTTTTAGACCAAAATTTAGCATTATGATCTATCATTTAGGGAATTTACCCATCATGTCTTTAGATCACTGTGGAAATCTGTACAGAATTAATTCTAAAAATAAACAATGATGATAGGAATGTGGTTGACTCACAACAGATGCACCAACACAAGAGGACAAGAGATAACACTGTTATAAGCTTTCTCCTTTTTTTTTTTTTTTTTTTTAAACAGTGCATCAGGCAGTCCTCGGATATATTAAAATAAAGCTAGAGAAAGACTCAGACTGCACTTCAGTAAAAATATACCACACAGAAATTAAGGAATTTTATGTGCTGCTGTGTTATGGAGCTGAATATTTTGCATTTCATTTCTTACTTTACGTACCACACCGACAGCTCTTGCTAGCAAGTAGTAAGGAGAGACTTGTGGTGATCCGGATCTTGCAGTTTGACAGCTACTAAAGAGGGCCCTGCAGCACTTTTGTTACCCCCGAATACATTTGTAAAAAAAAAAAAAAAAAAAAAAAAAAACCTGGGAAGTATGATAATTAATATGTTGAATCACTATGAATATCATATAGAGGTGGAGACCACATTCTTACCCGTAGCAGAGCAAAAATATGGTAGTTATTTGCGTTTTCCCCTTTCTCTACAAAATCACAAAGAAAAAGTTGAAGAAAATCCAGATTTTCACTAAGCTGCTACTTTTGAAAGCCACATATTTTGCCTGAGGTAGTTATAAGCACTTGTATCTATCACAGGCCTAGCTCCTTATGACAGCCAGAGTGGGGTTCTCAGGTTTAATAGTACCTCTTCCATCATCTGTTGCAGATGCTCCACAAGATCCAGATTTTGCTTGTAATCCTCCACAACTTTGCCGAAGTCACTCAGCTGTTTTTGTAACTCACTGACTGACCCGAGGAGGACTTTGCCTTTAGCATCAGCCGGGTTTGCCACAGAATCAATGACTTTGTTCTCTAAATTAACCATCTTCTTCTTAAGAATCTGTTTGAAATATATAGCAGTGTTAAATACTGTAATAAAAATATTTGTCTCTAGAAACAAAACATAACCTATACCTGTTAAAGGTGGAATTGGGTTAAATATTGAGCTTACAAATAAATATCCGCATAAGACGTAAGACTATATTATTTAAGGTTGAACAAACCTTTCACTGAATCTGCAAAGAAAAAAAAAAATACTAAGGCTACTAAGTCAAAATTCAGGTCCATTTAAGCACCACAGACATTTATGGCCTGCAGTATTAACATATGGCTTAAGATTTGATACAGTTAGGATCACTCACAAGTTTCCTAGAGAGGCTGTGAAGTCTCCATGGACTTCCTTCCTTGGAAATATTCAAAACCTAACTGGGTAACCAAGTCCAAGACAGAAAAAAAGAGATCAAAAGGATTGACAGGAAGACTCACAATATACTTTGCATCTCGTCTCATCTACTTAGTATAGGCCAGAACGTTTTAACCAATGAAGTTTTCATCAAGATTACGATTTCTAATATTACCTGTATTTTCTCAGCACACGTATCAACTTGCTGAATCTGTATTTTAAGTACTTTCAAGTTTCGAGCTCTTTCAGTTTTTTTAGTATAGTTAAACTTCAGATTGTTGAATTTCTTTTTAAGATCCTTAAATGATTCTCTGAGCTGAAACAGAGTGAGCATATTTTTCAGTAAAAAGGAAAGCACACATTAACATAGCTTTTCTCAAGAGCAATTTAAAAGGCAACAATCTAAACACTCTAATCTGAGAATTTGATATAGAAATTAGTAACACTGTAAAGCATATCATAAAGCATCCTTAATGCCTCATAATTTCTTAACAGCACTGGAAACTCATAACCTTGCAGAATGAACATTAAATAATACTGGTTATAAATAACCAAAAATATATGGTAGTACAATTTGTTTCTGCAAGATTACAGTTGACTATAGACAACAACATAGACTATAGACCATAACATGTCTACAGCAAGATGACAGCAGTCACATAAGAATCTTTATTTGCTCTGACTGCTGCGCTTTGTTTCCAGAAGAGCTGGTACAAAAAAGAGGGACAAAATATGATTAGATCCTTGTTCTGTGTAAAAACTCCCTTTAGGTTCCTTTTAGGCTTTTAACTGCAGGCAGAACACAATCTTTAGACACTGTATGCATTCCAACAATGAAAAGTGATAGCCATAACATGCCTACCTTCCAGAAAACCAGTCTAACTAGCTTTGGGCACGTAGAGTTGATTTTTTTGGAAGCGCCTTTCTTCGACATTTAGTTTACATCACTTTTTTGGGGCAGGGTTAGGAGATTCAAATAGGAATTTATCACTATATTGGGAACTACTACTCAAGGGTCATTTAAAGCGGAGAAGAAAGTTGATATTTACCAGAATTTATTTTAAGGCTACATGAGGTCCCTTCTGACCTCAATTATATTCCATGATTCTATAATCATTATAAAAGCTACGGATTGACCTGCAACAATGTTAATGAACAGGAAATAACCTGGAAGAAAATATTATTAATTAACAATGGAATAATACTGGAAGTCCTTATTATGAAAGTTACACTTGACCTTAATTTTATACACTGTTGTAGTCCAAACATCTTAATAGGATTATTTTCAACAAGCAAAGATGAATTCATTTCTTTTCAGGATCAGAATATATGAGTATTTGTACTTAAAATAAAGATTTGGGGAGTGTGGTGGTATAGTAGAGAAGCTCTGCCTAACAAATACTCAGAGAAAATGTCATCTAACTACAGCTACAGAAATTGTGTGCTACACAAGAGTACCATTACCAGTCAGTACTGTCTGGTGATGCAAACAAACAATAGAGAAAATGATTCTTATAATGTTATAATTTAAGGTGACTCATTAGCTCCAATTTTGGAGAATTTATGCATTTTAAGATTCTTAGGTGGACGTACACTAGCTGAAACAAACAATGTTAAATTTAGTTACAATAGATTTGATAGAGATTTTTTCTGTGTTTACATACCATGAAAATTAATTATAATGCATAGTCATTATATTTTTACTTTTATGTACTTACTCAACCATCTCAGTCTTTACGCTAGTCATGTGCTATAAATAAGCATATCAAACGCACAGCTAAATTACTCTTAAAGTTTTATGAACTTTTACTGAGTATAAAATACTATATTATTTCAAAACTTCTTCATCTGAAAGTCTTTTTTTTTCAAATGCAAAGATTTTTTTTTAATATATTAAAGCTGTCATTAATGCCTCAGATATGAGAGCAATTTCCTTGAATATTGTACACAAAAAAATGCTTAAAAATGATCTGGTATATTATTAAAGGTAGTATTTTGGTTATATTTGAATGCCATGAAAATATCTTCAATTGATTTATAAAATTTGAAACAGAAGACTATAAAAAGTATTGAAAGATTTAAGAATTTCAGATTCTCTGGGATTTTTTGCTTTTTTGAGTGTAGAATAAATTATGCTGATTTAAATTAATCTAAAGGAAGTGATATAAGAGAAATGTCATTCAAAATGCTTTACAGTCCATTTCTCCAGACATGCATAATGGAACTAAGTCTACTTATTTGTTCAGTATTTTTAGGTCATACCAGCAATGTGATATTTAACTAACATATTTGAGGGTTTATTTTATTTTATTTTTAACATCAGAGAATCATAAAGACATTTTTTCCAAACCTAGGGTGAAATAAATGCTCATTTTTTAACTATTGCTAGTGGAACAGCTAATACGCATTATTATTCTTATTAGTAGTACTATTACTACATACTAATGCTGATCCATTGAGGGATATATTTTTCGCTTTCATTTCATCTAGCAAGATGCTACCCATGATTTCAGTAATGGACAAACAGATGGCATTCACTCAGTGTAATGAAAAAGCAGCTATCAGCGGCTTTGTGATCTTCAATTAGTTTAAGCTTTTTATCCCACCAGGATAATAAAAATCTATCTGACAGCATTCTGTAGAATGATATTTTGTGCTCAGAACATAGAATTCTTATTTGTTGCCTTATTTGAGGAAAACAAGAGATGAGTGAGTTTATTTTCGTGTATTCTGTATGTTTATTTATGCATGTACATTTGCTAGGGATCATTTATAAGGCCAGAGGCTCTCCGAAGAGCAGTATGCGAAATCAGATCGCCTTGTTTCAGATGTGATGGCTCGTATGTCAAAGGTCTGCAGCTGCTGTCACTCTTCTCTCTCAGCCTCAGTGGAAAACCACACTCAACTCAGGCTTGATTCAGTTGATCCCCACGGAGCACAAATATACAGAACTCCTGTTAACATCAGCAATTGTACTAAGGAAAATAAAAGACTCTTAATATTTAGACAAATCATAACACAGCTCAGCTTTTCACCATTTCCTGAAAAATGGAATGAGAAATGCTAAAGAAACTATACATTCTGATACTGGAGAGACCTCAGCCCAGCAGCCTGGTGGAAGCGTGTGACTTGTCCATTGTGTCAGAGTCATTAATCAGGCAGCTGTTCCCAGCTATAGCTGGCCTGGCAGGGGTGGAGACCCTTGGGCAGGAGGAGGGGGCTGGATGCCAATTGCTAAGACTTATCACACAAGCAGCAGATAATAAACGAGAAAAAAAAAAGAAAAAAAAAAAGCAAGTTATAGAAAAGCTTTTGAAATGCTTGTATTAACACTAAAGTTTCAGTTCCTGTGTGAAGCTTCTTGGAGGCATTTCAGTGATGTTAACCACCTCTCCCTTTTTATTCCCACAAAAAAACTTCTAGTAACTCTAGTAATTAAAATAGTCCATAAAAGTAGGGTGACTAAAAATAGCTGTTCAGAGGGACAAACATTAAAGTCAGCCAGAAAGCAGGAAAAAAAAGAAAAGGGGTTGCTCAGTTTATTAGTGGTCATGACTTAAGATCACATCACAATTTGTGATGATGAGAAATGTGAGAAATGTCAATTGAATCATCAATTTTTACTGACCTGCGAACTGCAATAGGTCAGTACCCTCTACGATTGAAAACCACATTTTCAGGCTTAAATATAGGATATGATCGGGGAGAGCTGAGAGCTCAGGGTCTGTTACACTTCTGTTGCAGGTTACATGCAGGCATGCAGAAATGTGAAGTTTTACTGGCCTGACTCAGCTCTATCACAAAGCTATAAACTGTGCTACAAATGACTGCAGGGCAGTGTTGAGCTGCAGCTCTTCAGAGGCTGTTATCCAATCTAGTTAGTGAGGCAGGAAGCCCAAACTGGCAATCTCAAATGTCATATGAACTTTCCTTATACTTTACGAAGATTTAGAAGGCAAGAATAAGTCCTTTTTGGCCTTTGTAAATTCTCTTTAAATTTGATAAGATTCACAAAAAGACATGTTTTACTCTTTGGTCCTCCAAGATTGTTTCAAAACTCATACTAGATACCACTTTGCTATAAACACGAGTATTTGCTTCCTTACTGTTTAAAGAAACACTAATGTATTAGCAACATAGATAGCTAGCTTGTGATCAGAGCATGGTATTTTCAGGCACCACTGAGTCATATTCCCCACAATCCTGACTCATATGCTTTATTTATATTTTTAAAACCACCATATTATACATAGTGGAATTTAAGCAGTTGCTCCAGAATTTCAAGCATCTTCCCCCAGCTTTAAAATTTGGTTTGTGTATTGGTTAACCTCGGCTAAACTACCTGGTTGGTTGTTCAGCATCTGACAGATACTAAGAGCTGCTCCTTTCTGCTCACATGTTAATTGAAATAATTAGCTTAGACTGGACAGATGGTTAAAGAATTGTTATTTTAAGATAGATCTGCTTGATATTCACAATGCTGTCAGAGTAACTGAAATTGTTAAAATTAACACGTTAAAATTAAACGATAAAATTAATTTTAAAAGATTGAAGTTGATTTATTCATAACTTCAGAATTCTTGAACTAGTTGATCATCTAGTTTCTTGACCCCTTAAAATTAATCATAAATACTACAGGAAAAAAATGGTAGTGCACATGCAGGTTAATGCATACAGATTAATATTTGTTATCTGCAATACTAACTTATAGTAAAAAAGAGTATCTAACTAAAGAAAAAGATATCACAGGGCAATTCAGTATCATTTCAGTTAGATTACTCAATAACTAGCTCTATAATTGACAGGTATTAAACCTAGTCAGACAAGATGACATTCCCAGATTAAAATACAATAAAAACCCACAATTGATATCAAAATCTAAAGTAAGCTTCGCAATTATTTTGCAGTGGATTGCCATTAACTATGACAACCTAATATACTTGTTATACTTTACAAATCAGATATACAGAGCATGTGACAAGCAGCAAGTGTCACTGACACCCATTTCATTTACATTTGGGGCTATGGTAAACAGTAATACTACACATTATAGCACACTATAGCTCTTTAGAGCACACATGCCTTTTAGCATGTTGAGATTTCTCTAACTGACCTCATTTATCTCCTCGTGAGCAGCACAGTGTTGGAAATTGCGTGATAGTTCTTCCTCATATTTTTCTGCTTTGGAGCTCCAGCTAATGCTGTCAAACTCAAGTCTAGCAAGTTCCCGCTTCAGATTATTTACAGAAAGATTTAAGTGATTCTAAACAAGAAAGAGACAGGAAAAGGATAAGAAACACAAGTAGTTTACTGATTTAATCAGTTTAAAATCTTTTTGAGGCAGAACATGTATAACTAGTTTTAATGGGCTAGATTAAAGATTTATACCTCTTCTGTGTAATTCATAGACAGACTGGAAAATAATTTTGAGTCAAAGTCACCATGGTGATACTCTGAACCAAGAAGTAGTAGTAGTTCTAAACCCTTGCCACTTGGAGAGGAGCTCCTCCCTGCTGCCCAACACATTTTGGAGGCGGGAATACCAGTAGTTTTCTGACTATGCCTTTTCCATCTTAGTTTCCCACTCTGAGGAGCAGACTGGTTATGTGGATAACATGAACAGCTCATAAAGGAGTATCTTTGTTTCTGCCTAGTAAACGAATACAGAGCAATGACAATCCTGTCCCCTATAAATAATTCCTTTCTAAAATGATGACCAATACTCTAAGTAAATCAGCCTGAAATCCACTACTAAGGTAACATTATTGTATTTTCTTTCTAGATTTCTTTTTGTTATCCTTTGCTTACAGAAAAAATTATTTGAAAAGCTGCTTTTCTGAAGTAGCAGAAGCCTAATACATAGATATGGCTATCAAAGAATCAGCACCAGTAAGGACCTGCACAAAAAATATTAGAGCTGGAAGTCAGTCTTTTTTTTTTAAATTATTTTCCTAATAATAAGTGCTAATATTTCAAGACTCATTACCTCCCTGCTTCAAATCTATTTCAATGGCTTTAAGGTAAGATTGTTACATATCATATAAAAATTGAAATGAGATTTCAGAAAAAACACATATTTTCTCTTGGCAAAAATAATTAATAATATAACAGTAACTGCGGAAGAATAGACTTCCATAGTCCTAGATGTCTCTTAATTTGATTGATGTGTATCTGCAAACAAAAGTCTAAAAATGATTGTATTAATTCTTTTTTCTTTCTTTTAAAATTATTCTAAAAGCTATGCATTTAGGTTTTTTAATGTACTAATACCTTATATATTCATATATCTATAAATATCTCTCTCTCTCTCTCTCTCTCAAAGCTGGTCAGATAGTGCCTGTCATTTTTTCTCATATTCAGCCCTGACTTCACAGATGGTTGTAATCCTACTTACAGGTTGCTGCACTGCAGACACAATACATGCTCCCTGTGTAAGAGCCAGTCTATACAGATGTCTGATCCATGCATGTTTCTCCTGAGCATTCACAAGGTGGGCTTTCGCACAGTGCACATCTTCAGGGCTCTCATTTATTTCAGGAATATCCAGTTCTCCTGATTTTGACAAGCATTCCAGCTGGAAAGTATTAAAATGAAAATCAGCGTGTGAAAGGAAACTTACCATTCCTTTCTTAACCATAATGTGTTAACCTAAACCGTGTGGAGATGCATGTAAATATTAAAAGAAATGGTTGTAGAATCTGAACTCTACAAATTTCATGTCATTTCAAATCCGGAATTTTAGTCTTGAACACTAGATGGATCAGTGCTGCTAATTTGGGGAGAAAGAGAGAGATGACAAATACCAAAACCAGAAAGAGATTAGCTGCATTAACAAGAAGGTACATTTTAAAAGATTATACTCACTTCTTTTTTAACATGATGGAATTGGACTGTCTTGTTGAAGACATTATCATATTCCCTCATTGTGTCCTTTATCATTTGATGGAGATGAATCAGCTCACTTATTCTCTTAGAATTCTCTTTGCCAGAAAACCCTTCTTGGCTCAGCAGTTCTAATAATTTTACCATGTACTCAAGCTCAGCATTCAGTTGCTAGAAAAGGAGCAACATAATTTACTCTTATTTGCAAGATTTCCCTTACATTTAATGAAGAAATAGCATAACCATGGTGAATTGTCTTGGAGAAAAATAAATGTCACACCCCTTATATTACTCTCCAGATTCTTTTTTTTTTTTTTTTGTACCCTCTAGACATGAATCTGACCCAGGAACAGTCTTGAACCAAAACTTAAGAGCCACACACTGACTCTTAGAGGAAAGAGAGAACAGAAGCACATGAATGAACAGCTCACTAAAAATCAGAAATAGCATTCAGAAGAGGTAGGAAGCTCAATATGACCTATCCCAGTCTCAGAGCAGGCCTGTAACTCTTAACCATGTGTGCTGGTGCTCTTCCTTTTTTGAGTATCCTTTTTCCCCTTCCTGTGCTTGCGTATCACCTTAAGTGGCAGCTGACATCACACAAGATGTTCTACGGACACCAAAGGCAAATTCTCTCTCCCTTCCCTTATAATGTACACTAATCTTCTTTTCAGGAAAGTAATGTAAGAACATGCAAAATATAAATACAAAAAATGTGAATTACTGTAATCCCAGACACTCTATGTAAGGTAAATGTGATTGTGAATCTTTGCAGCACCAAAAAAACCGTTTGCTCCTCTGTGGACTTCGCTCAGTTTCTCACCTGAAACTGTGGTTTCTTTTGGTTAAGTGTTTTTTGTAGCTCCAAAATAATATGAAGGTCACTTCCAAGGTCCACTATCGCTGCAAGTCTGAATGCATCTTGAAGAATCTCTAACCCCAAGGTAGTCTAAAAGATAGAGAAACATTTCAGTTTTTCTATCTGTAGAAAATAAAATTAAATCCAAATCTAAACTCTTAACAAAAACCCACCCCAAACCATTCTCATGCTGACAGTAAATTTCATTCAGTGAGACTACTACTATGAAAATGAGAGATTCTTAAGATGATACTATCTTTCATTTTGCCCCCTCCCCGCCCCCCTTTTTTTAAAACTACAAACCTCCGCCTCAAATCCTCTGACTTTATCATGGGAAAACAGAGATCCTTATAACAGAACGCAAAAATGATTCAGACACCAAGACACGAGGACTCAATCATACAGTGTCTTCCAAGGATTGTGATTGAGTGACAAATACAAATTGCACTACATGCACACTGTGGTCAAAGACCTCTGGTTCTCCTGCTAGAGTAGCTAATAGTGCTTTTAAGGAACCCTACGCACCATCTCTATGCCAAGAAGGTTTAAATCCTCTTTCCTTATGACATGGTTGGACACTCTGGGAGTTGCAATAACAAAAAACCCTTTGGTTTAGTAACTACTGAGCCACAGCAAAATGCCATTAAAAATAAACAAACCAAACATAAACACACAGAAGTAGCAGTGCTGCTATGGTATACATGTATATGAACATTTCAAATCATTATTTGTATGCATTTCAATAAAGCCAAAAATAAATCAAGAAAAATTTGAAATTCAAGTATTTCTTGATGACTATCATAATGGTAAAATAGACTATGGAGAAGTGTTTTACAGATAATCTCATCTTCTTATATGATATCTATAACATTTGGTGAGAGTCATATACAAGTAATAATCCAGAAGTGTTTGCTATATTTATTTTCTTTGTAAGTATTTTACTTACCTTTTTGAGTTGTTCTTTAAATATCCAGCACTGTTGCTTGATGGGTTTTACTTGATTAACTTTGTAATTCCAGATTGCCCAAAGATCAGTCAGCTCTTTCTTTTCTTTACTGAGATCAATAATGATGTCTTCTGTTACTCGTACAGATTTTTCTACTTCTACTATTAAGCTCTTATTTACCTGGTAAACAATTAATGAAACATGATTCTTTCACAAATTTGCATAAAAATATAAGTACAGTGTCCGTAATACTAAAAGTAAAGTTTTGGGAAACTTAATAGAAACTATCAACCTGCTCTAGTTTATTCGAAAACTCCTGGGAGCTTGCATGCTTTTAAATATATTGTGCCTTTTTTTTTTTTTTTTTTTAAAAAAAAAAGGCATTGTTTTTGTCTTAAACAAACATAGGGGAATCAAATTTGTATACTGAAAGTATGATTAATGTTCATGTTTAAAACACAAAAAAATAGGCGTATTACCATCTGATGGCTGTTTGATACCTCATTTAAAAAAACAGAGAAAGAAAACAAGCAATTTTTGAATGGACAGAACTACATATACTTTGGGGAATTATCAATGGAAAGCAAAGAGGGAGAAGACAAGACTGCTCCTTTGAAAAACAAGGCAGCACTGAAGGAGGGATACCGTGGTCAGCATTTGAATGTTGTTTTTTTTTGTTTTATTTTCCTCTTTGCCAGAACTCAGCTCACAAACACCTTAGAAAATCTGCTAATGCTTTTTAAGCTTTTCCCATTTTACAATGTTTTCCACTAAGGAAAGGGATGTGTAAATTACTAGTGTCTCTGTCTTCCCAGATCCTTGAAAGTCGTATCTAACTATATCATGAGCAGCAGAAAATATGCTGGCAACATACCTCTAGCTATAGATAAATTAATCTTTTAGAAGACACATCTCCACTTCGAGGGAATGAAGTGTAACTACATATTCAGATGCACTCAGCTCAGCTTAAGTCTTATTAGCTTATCTGTGCCTGGCTGTATCCAGCTGCGACAGCGAACACTTCAGCTCACACTAACCACCAGAGTATCCCCATCCTGCTTGCGTTTGTTTTCCAGCTCATCTTGCATGCTACTGCTGGTTACCATCCCATGCACTCATCACCACCCTTTCATCTGCTTCATCTGCCTAATCTGGCCTAGAAAACAAAAATAATAGCCAAATAATCAAACCTTCTACACTAATTGATATTATGAATCGGGGGGATGTGCACACGTATCTCAAATTATCATGTGCGAATTATTATGTACAGAAACCAAGGAAGATTATCTCTCAGGAAGCAGATCTCGTGCACATTTTTCTACATTCCACAGATACAGACTGCTTCTTAGTGGAGGTAAAATAAACAAAACAAACAAATGCTGCAAATTGCTTGTTCACTTTATGATCTTTTCAAGCTAAAATTTTCTTTTATCCTACCTTTACAAACATTTTGACATTCCCATATCAAATTCTGTACAGTCCTATTTTGTGAAAGTTTGGTTACTACATTTTTCATTCTGGTTAAAAATGAACACATCAATATTTTTATTTGTTGAATTAGTTTGATCTTTAACTGTGATTCTATATAAACATGCCAATCATTTAATTCTTCTCCTATCTCCTCTTCTTATGTGTACACTGAAACACAGCAGAACCACTTTGTCCTAGGCAGATTATCTAATGAAAACTATCTTCACCCATACACTTAATCTGCCATGATTTGTTTAAGCATGGATTTAGAGGATTTTTTTTTTTGAATTCTAACAATCATTTTTTTTAAAGATGGTAATGCCATGAACCAATCTCACCATATTTACTAAATTAAGAAAACTGTGACCCATATCTTGAGTGGAAAATATTTTCTTTATAGCCTTTTGCCACTGATTATTAGCTGACTCAATTGCAGTTTTATTTTCAGTCTCAGTGTTTGCTTGCAGAGCTTCTGATTTATACAGCTCCTTCAGATTTCGAATATGGTCATTCACCTGTGGAAAGACATCAAATACACTCAAAACAAATCAAAATTTGAGTTGTTGTAATCAGTAGGTATATAGGCACAGTAATGTTGAGCACTAGCCATTTTCCACCGCTTAAAAAATGTCTATCCAAAATTCATATTTAAATTAGCTAATAAAAATGTGTTACATATCCTGTAAACCTGCAGATGGCAGGCAGATAGCTGGCGGCACTTGTTTGATTTCTGTCATATATCATTACATTAATATTATATATCACTATATCAATGAAATTACTTTATCTGTTTAATATGCAGGAACTAAAATTAGCAATACTCAGAAGTAGATAAGATCCAGTCTTTTGGCAATTTATACTCATACTACTAATTAAAACTGATGGCTCATGTTATTTAAAAGATTCAATTCCATCTTCAGTGTCTTTCTAAATATACAAAAAGCACCAACAGTTTTATCTTAAATATCCTAAAATATGTAGTATATCAAAATTAATCACACAGATTATCTCAGCAAGGGTTGGTGTATACTTCTTTTAAACTTCTGTCAAATCTGCATTTCAATTGAAGATTGTATGTAGATAAATATCAACATACTACATTCACAGAATCATAGAATGCTTAAGGTTGGAAGGGACCTCTAGAGATCATCTAGCCCAACCCCCCTGCACACGCAGGGTCACCTAGAGCACGTGGCACAGGACTGCGTCCAAGCGGGTTTGGAAGATCTCCAGAGAAGGAGACTCCACAACCTCTCTGGCCCCCTGTTCCAGTGCTCTGTCACCCTCACTGTTACGAATTTTTTCCTTAAGTTCCTGGGGAGCTTTTGGTGTTTCAGTTTGTGGCCATTACCTCTAGTTCTCTCGGTGGCCACCAGTGAAGAGAGGCTAGCACCATCCTCCTCACTGCCTCCCTTGAGGTACTTATAGACACTGATCAGGTCCCCTCTCAGCCTTCTCTTCTCCAGGCTGAACAGGCCCAGCTCCCTCAGCCTCTCCTCGTAGGGCAGATGTTCCAGACCCCTGATCATCCTTGTGGCCCTGCGCTGGACTCTCTCTAGTAGGTCCACATCCCTCTTGTACTGGGAGGCCCAGAACTGGACACAGTATTCCAGATGTGGCCTCACCAGACCACATTAACATGTTAAACCTGTTAACATGTTCACATGTTCACATTAACATGTTCACATTGACATTATAAGAAATGTTTAAATCAATGAAGTAAAACCAGCAAATTTACTAAATCAGAGTACATACATGTGAATATTTATATTACGTATATAATGGAAGAGGGAGGGATACAGAAAGAGGGAGAGAGTAATAATTCAATCATAATACTTTCTACAATAGAGATTAACAGAGTCAAGACCACCTGCTCTGAGGAAAGAGATCTCCTTTAAAACAGATTACAAAGACTTGCAGTGATGCAGCAGCTGTAGCTTATATAGTTTATCTTATTAGATAAACGTACACGTAAAAGTACTTGTAAGATTTCACAGCAAAGCCAGACAATAAAGCATACCTCCGTAGCTGACTTTAAAAACAGCACATAAGTTTCAAGAACTTCTAGCTTTGAATTAATATTTCTTTTAATTTTTTTCAGTTCTTCATTCAAAAAGTCAGCTTTGCTAGAAAGAGCTGCCACTTGCACAGGTTCAAATTCTTCCAAATCTTTTATGACTCTTTCAGCTGCTTCCAGTTCACGTGAAGTTTCCTTTGAGGAAACAAGCAAAGGACAAACTGTATAATAACTGAAAAGAACTTGTGAAAATTGATTGCTCATGATTAATTTTCATTAGTAGTATGTATATATATTTATAATTCAATTGCTTAGTTGAAGAGTGGTTCACACTACCGTATGCAGGAATTGACCATTTATTCTTGTAACATTCTGACACCAGAAACAATCAGTGAAGTTAAAATAGTAATTTTGAATGAAAAAAAAAGGGGGGGGGGAGTGTCAGCATTCAGACTAAGCAAGCCACATCACATTGTAAAGAATCAACCACAGATATGTTTCATGTGTGCACACTGGTAGCCAAAAGTGATAAATAAATGATAATTGTATGCACAGGCCCATTCGTGATTGCTTCCTAACTATAATAGACTGCCATATACCAGCCCAAACCAATGCTCCTGCACGCAGCAAATCTGCCAAGTCAGATGTGAAGTGGATCATGTTTGTTACTGCATCAAATGCCAATATCCAGATGACTGTGCAAATGTACTGAGAATTGCTACCACTTTCCATGGTCCAGGATTCTGGTTTTCAAAGCTGCTTTCTTAAATCATAGGTTCATACGAGTACAGCTCTTTTTAGTTGCAGCTACTTTTCCTGTTAAATAGCATCATCCTTAGCACATAAAAGCCATATATACTCTCTCCTTTCTTAAATGCTAATTTCAATTTTTATACTGAAAGAAACTTTTAGAAACTATTTGTTCTGAAGCGCACATAAGAAAAGAATGACATCCAACCTAGCCTAAAGTATATGGTCTTGAATTAAACATGAAAAAGTTGACAAAGTCAAGAAATCATTTCAGACAGCAGGGTATTTGCTTAGGTGTTTCTTTTAAAAGACACTTGAAGTTTGACAGCAACATCTTGAGGTAGTAACAACACAAGATGGAGGCAGTGACATAATTAAACATATAAGGAAGACTGATGTGCAGTGCTTTCTGTACTTTCATTCATTAATGGCAGGTTTAAACAAAATAAGGTCTATTTTCTTTCCAAGAATACATAACAAACAAAGATTCTCATCTGGTTTAGAAATACACATAATACACATTTATTTCTAAAAATATTCAACATATTAACATATTCTCTTCTTTACCTTCGTTTGATTAGCCAGTTCAAGATGTCTATTCAATACTCTTTCAGACTCGGACAAATAAGAACCAATCTCCATACCAGTTAAAATCACTGGGGTGATTATTTTAATTGATTGTGATACCTTTAATTGAAAACATTTATATAGTTATACAGTTTATATAGTTAATTTACTTAATCAGACAGCTTAAAAATCTTAGTTTTTTTTAGAACAAAGAAACCCAATTGATTGTTAGTGTTTATATTATGTACTTCGTATAATCAAACTATTCGATAAATTAAAATATGAAGGGAGAAAATTCTACTATTATAAACCTAACACACATGGTCAGAATTTGAAGAAAAAAACTCTGGTTTGCTCATGTTTTGTGAAGTGCTCCCAACTCTTCAGCTTTCTTTCAGGAAGTCCTTACTATATTATAATCCTGGCATAAATACTTTGATTATGCTTCATTTTACAATAAGACTATACGTATTTTTTTTTCCAACAGATACATTTAAAGATTTTCTCACGAGCCAAAAAAAATAATTTTGTGCAGATACAAGTAGATAACTCAATTTTCTGCAAGATGTACAGATATATCAGACGATAACAGAACACGTTGTGGAAAGCAATGGCAGATAACAGACATCACACGTGTATAATAAATGATTAATAAACTGTTAATAAGTGTCTGCCGAATGAGGCTCAATCTTTATTAAATGAAGCTCTGCAGAAGTTGAATTTAGCATCCAATTCTTTGAAAAATGTTCTGCATTAGCAAAAGGTTGCACTATTAAGTACCTTGCTTGGTAAAATAACAGCAACATGGGCAGTGTTTCCTACAATGAAAGATAATATGACTCAGATTTTCAAATGCCCTCTAATACAATATGGGGAACAGAATGGCAGAAAAAGCCAGAATGAAAATATGCATCAAAACTAGTTCTACTTCCTGAGTAAAAATTACATTCATAATTAAATCTTTAAATTCACCATGTCACAGTGACAACCATTGCAAAAACAACATCAGCTACCAGCAAATATCTTTTTAGGTAAAAAAAAAAAACCCTCTAAGTTATTTTTTATCACATTGTAATTTCAAGAAATCTCTTCTTTGGAAAAATATGTGTAAACGGATATATTTATTGCAAACTGAAATCTCACTAGAATGAACAGTTCATTATAAACATTACGCAAATACAGAGAAATAGCAGAACTAATTATTCAGTTATTAAATCTTATCTACTTTTTTCAGTCTGCATTTTGGAATTTCCTTCGTCTGAACCTTGTTAAAAAGATTATATTGCAGTTGAATTTGAATATACACAGGGCATGTTGTTTTGAAGGCCTGTCTCCATTTCATCGCTGATAAATCATTAAAAAGGTCAGCAGTAAAAGAGAACATTCAGCCACTTCAAGAAGTCTACTCATTTCATACCCATGAAAGAGCTAAGGCAATTATAGTGAAAGGACACACTATTTCAGCATTACTGAAAATTTGCTGCGGTCCACTGTCACCATTCTTATTAAACCTCAATTTTGCCATACTTTTTTTTTTTTTTTTTAGCTTCAGGAAAATGAAATTGAAGACATAGGAAGAATACAGACAGCCTGCATTCAAGTCACGGTCCTGACTGTTTGCTGCTATGCTTCTTTTCCAACAAAGAACAAATTATAAAAGCTCATTATCTAAACAAATCCATGCTTTATTAAAAATCACTGGTATAATGTTCTCATGGAAACAGCTGCATTTTTCAGAATAGCATTGGATTCACTGGTGCCTGTAACAGTAGTCAGCATTCCAAATACAATCATGTGTGCTAACAAGCCAATATGTTATTTGGAATTATTCAAGTCAAGTTTAATATTCACACAGCTAAATTACAGAAGTGCAATGCACTGTTCATGAATACATTAACAAGAAGGCATTTTATGAGGTACCTTATTTAGATGATCTTCAAGTGATGCAGTCAATTGTTGTTTCTTCAAAGTAAGTTCTTTGTAATTTGGACACTGCCCAATTAGTTGATCTACTTTTTTCTGAATACACTCTATCATCTTCTGAATTCCCATTATCCAAGAGCTAGAAGTGAAATATGCAACTATTAGTATTCACAAGGCTTGCCCGGCAATCAAGAGAATAATGCTTAAAAGAAAAATCCTTCTGTTGATTTCTGTCACAAGTAACTTATCAAGAACTTTAACCCTTAAAAAACCCTCAAAAGAAAACCAAAATTAATGCAAGCAAAGCTGGTAAGAACAATACAGTATTTCCAAACTAATCATTTACTACCAGTGCATACATCAGATTTGCATGCCAGACATCCTGATTCATCTTATTTCACAAATAGCTTCATATGGCTTTAATCACATTGTCTGAAGAATAAGGTCATAAACAGAAAGTCCCTAAAGAGAGTGGAAATACTTGGCATCTTGTTTCTACTTTTAAAGACACTTTTTCTTTTGATTTTCAAAATGTTTCAGCATTATTACAGTAGCTGCATTAAAACACAAAGAAACAAACAAAAAAAAAAACATGTTGCACGCATTTTAAGTCACCAATTGCTGCCTTCAGCAGCCAATGTGGCAGTCTAAGGTCAGGCTCAGATTCCCAATTTACAAACAGCACAAAGATGGAGTAAAGAACAAATCAATTAACAAAACTCCGTCTTGTTTTAGAATTTAAAACATTTAACATTGGGTAGGCAATTCATAATCTGAATGAATGAGGTAAACACCTTCCTGTAAAGAACTGTAAGGAAATTATCACATACACTTAAATCTGAAACTCTGATAGGAGAAAACCCACATATCGTTTGATTTATCACTAAAATGTATTCCTAGTAAGAGGTTTTGTAAGATGAACCCTTTCAAAACATGACTTTCATCACTTTAATTTCATCATAAGATTACTTTGATTTCTGTATTTATTCAATATTTTCTCCTTTGCCCTTTCAAATTACAGGAAGTTTTCTCCTAACTTCAGGCTAAATAGCTAAATTCTCTTAAAAGGAAACCTTGTTCTACAAGCATTTATGTAAACTATGGTGTTAACAGACTGTTCTGCTTGAATATGATTCAAGAATTCTTCACCAAGAAAATCCAAATTTTAATTTGCTTTGTAAACTGCTCTTTCAAAAATTAGTAATCTCTTAATCTGCTGTTTATTCTTGAACTGTAAGAATGTTACTCCTCTCTTTTACCACTCCTTAAAATGTAATTTTTAAAGAAAAAACTTCTACTAGCATCATTCCTTAACATTAAGGTTTATCGTTTTTAAAATAAGTTAGATCTTAATAAAATCTTCAAATCTTCAAAAGCATTACTGCTTTGATGAAATAACACAATTTTTAACGGTGAAATTAATTTTAATCTGTATTAAAAATAAACATAATTCTTACAATCATGATCACAAAAATTAGTTGAAAATATAACAAGGGCTATCAACAAACAAATATATTAATTGTATAATTTTTTTTAGATTTACAAAATATATATTTTTGCTGCACTTCTGCATTACTAGCTAGATTTAATATTATGAAACTCAAAATCAGGTTTACCATTATCTTTCTGTAACAACTGCTTCTGCGGCTTTTCCATAATCTACTCATCTTCCATGTGTAAATTATTGACATTTGATCTTATTCTTATAATATAAGCTATAATATAATAAGACTGCAGTGTCTTATTTGAAAATATCATCATTCTACATTTCTACTGAGAGTCTTATTTACAATAATGCCATTTAATTCAGTGGCACAAACCTTAAAGATATAGCTATCCTGTCTAAGGGTTGGCAGTATTACTTTTATAGATCATAAGCTATTCAGGAGCACATGCATATAAATTCCGTGGGTCATTTTTGGGGTATTCTGAAAACGACAACAAACCATGTGGATGCAGAAATCCGTTTACATTTTAATTCTTCTCCTAATGCTCCCTACTCTGTCTTCTTTCAGTGCAGTTAAACAGAGACCACACATAGTCCCTTTGATATTGCATTAAAATTCATTTTCCACTATCTCATTTAGAGGAAATTATGCAATGGAGAGCATAATTCCATCCAAATGAACAAGGTGTGATCCAACTTTCTTAAAACCAGCAGAATCAGATAAGTAGCTGAGGATGTGACATTATTTCCTCTGTCATAAATGAAGAAGTTCTAAAACAACTGTGCTTTAACTATTCCTTCAGGGCTCTCAAAGCTATTTGCTAATTCCACACAAATTTCTACTGGCTGCCATCTGGATTGAGAAACCTACCAGATGGCAAACACTTAACAGCTATGTATCTTGTTGTCAGATAATATTTTCTTTTCTATATGATGACAGAGAAGCTTTTTGAAAAGACATGTAAAGTTTTTCAGATCCACACCCTTCACTGTCTTTAAGTGATGACTGCTCATCTCCTACAGGCTTTCCCATCTTGGTGGGTAAAGGAAATGAAAAGTTGGCAAGGGCAGTTCTGACTACCGGTAAGTTGTGCAGTATGGGAAATAAAGAGTAATCAGTATTTAATCTTCATAAAAGTCCTGTTTCCTATCAAAATCTCTCTTCTCCCTTGGCCCTCATGTTCATACTAATTCTCCTGTCCTATGCGGGCTCACTACTGGGCTAAATATTGGTCAGTGTTTAAGGACAGAATCCTGGTTTACACAAGACAAAGACGACTCACTGTCCTTCAAAACACATGTATACTCTTCTTCTGAAAAGGAGCACATATTAAACTAGTAGGACAGATTTTACATCAATGTTTTACATCAATATAACAATTGTATCTGCAGAGCATATCATCACTAATATTAGCAAAATGCATGGAAGAACAAAGTGATTTCATTCATGAATTAAAGATATTGAGAAGTGGGGAGATTTCCATATTTTCTGCATTTGGCTTAATAGGTGTATCTTTTGTCTTGCAGCAAATCACATTATTTATTACAATGATAAGTTTCAAAAAGGTCTTAAGGGCAGCAAGGAGTATTCATAGCTATTGACATTTTACTTTTTATTTACTACCCCAATATTCTGATCTCGCTATTTGATATCTGTCTTCTAAATAGCACAGGACTTGCCCAAGGAAAGAGATTCAGCTTGTATGAATAGTAACAGTGAGATGCAAAAATATATATATAACTGAAATGTGATTTTGAGGTCACTTTGGCCTCACCTACGTCGATTATTACACTGGCTGTAAACGCAGCCTGGTTCTAGCTAGCACTATGATAAAGCAACCGGCAGATACGGAAAAATGGAGTAGATATGAAATAATGGAGGGAATACCTGTGAGAATCTGCTTTATTAACTAAGGCTTGTCCCTTTTGCAAGGCTTTGGCTGCACACACTTTAATTTCTTCCTGTAACTCTTCATGCTTCATTGCCAAAATAGGCAAACTTAAGCCTTCTGCATTAACGATTTTAAGGTGAATCTCAATATCTTCAAGAGCACCAAGGGCCTGCAAAAGAAAAGCATCTACTGTTAGTATTTCTATTTAAAATATCTACACATGTATGATTTTTTTTTACATAAAACAGATGATCAATGGATAATTAGTATTGCCTATTTCTTCAGAAATGAACAGCAGTATATTGAATCACTGTATGATACTGACTTCACAGATCACAGAAAGTAAAACAGCAATAATTCCACAGCATTTAAGATTAATATCAGCATGAAAAAGCCTTAGAATTTAAAATTATTCTCTTTTTCAGCAATAGTCAGGCCAATTGGAAACTGAAGTAAAACCAAAGTAACACAAGGAATACAACCGAAGGCATGCTACTGCGCTAGGGTTTGTGGAGTACGCTATTAATTTCACCCCGTTTTTAATGTTTTAAAAACATCAAACGTGTATCCATCAACCCATCCAACAAAAGGACATCAAATGAGAAGTTAGACTACGGATTTGGCAATAAAGAAATAATTACAGTATCAACACCTTTTAACCCAATGACTCTTATAGCATTTTTTTTTAGTATTTTATATCATCATTAAATGATAAAAGCCATTACAAGCAAAAGAAGAGAATTCTGTTTTAGTCAACATACCATTGTGTCAAAAAAGAAAGCCTTTCATTTTTTTTAGCTTAAAATAGAGACCATCTACAATCTCTTCAGCTGGTTCTCTCTTGTAGGAAATATCTAATAGCCTTAATTTCCCATTTAAAACATAGATTTACAAAATAAAAATCTTTAAAATTATTACATCTGAAAAGTCTCCAAATCAGAACTATTTTAAAGTAACTGAGAGACCAAAGCACAAGATGCTCCACAGCTAACTAAAAACGTGAATCTACAAATATACTCAACTCAGTAAAGTCTTACTTATTTGCTTAAATTTATTTAAGAAAACGTTCTCAAGCTTTTGCTGTATTGTGAAAAGTTGCTACCTCTGCTGTCAAAGCAGTAGACGTACATTAGTGCAGCTCCTCCTAATCGAGTAATGAGCAACAAACCTAGCACTGTGTTCACCTGCCCTTCTTGGGCTTCTTTTGTTATAAATCATAGAATCACAGAATGTTTAAGGTTGGAAGGGACCTCTAGAGATTGACTAGTCCAACCCCCCTGCACATGCAGGGTCACCTAGAGCACATGGCACAGGACTGCATCCAAGCGGGTTTGGAAGATCTCCAGAGAAGGAGACTCCACAACCTCTCTGGGCAGCCTGTTCCAGTGCTCTGTCACCCTCACTGTTAAGAAAGTTTTCTTTCAGTAGTCAAGAAAGGTCAGCCCCGTTGAACCAAAAGACATCTAGAACTTCGAGGGTGTGTAAATAATTTCAATACCAAGTATTTGTCAAAAGCTGTTAGAAAAAAAATACCAAGGCAACATGTGATTACAGCCCCACCTGCTGCTCAAAACACAAATTAGCGCAGGCAAAGTCTTCAAGATTGTGTCTTCAGAACATTTAGTTGAGCTATCAAGAGAGTTGTTCAATCTCTATTGGATATGGCCAGCTCTTAAAGATTCTCCAAATGACAATTTGGTGTTTGGACACTTTAAAATAGAAGCTTTTCAAACTTATCTTCTAACTGGAAACTTTTGGAAAAAGATTTTCTTTATTAATACTCTTTGATGAATTTTCTTGAGAAGAATAGACTTATCATAAAATGTAAAACAGAGATTTCACATTTTAAGCATAGCATTTAAGTCTGAGGTCCTCCTTTTCAATGGTTGAGCAGGCACGATGGTGATGGCTTTATAGTTAGTCGATCTTGAAGGTCTTTTCCAACCATAATGATTCTATGATAAATATAGCAATTCATTTTCAAATTTATCCAGTCTTAAAACTCAACAGGACTACTTCATATAGCAGAATGTAAGAGTTTAATATTTCCAAAAAGCTCAGAAACTGTTGTTTTCTTTAGTTTTGATGTAACATACAGCTGCTCAGTACTGCTGACTAAAGACCTCATGTTTCAAAAGCTTTATACTCCCAAATCAAGGCGAGGATACCGAGAAAACATTTCTAACAAAAATACATCTCAGTTCTGACAGTACTTATTTGCAAAAACCTAAAATACATTTTCTACTGACAAGAAAGACAAATAAGATAAAAGATTATTTGCCTAATTCCTCTGCTCTAGCACAAATCAATTTCCTTCAACTAACTGTTGGGTTGTAATACTAGAATACAATACCAGAAATTATTTTGTCACAAGGATAAACTACATAATTCCGGATTACTTCTGAGTTTAACCAAAGAATATCACTCTTTGGTCACGTAACATCTAGTAGACAGGTGATAAATTGTTCCAACAACTCATTTCTCCATAGTTTAAAAAATTCCCGTGAAAGTTCCAAGTACCTGATTTTGGAACCCGAATCACTGGATCTCCACATGAGCACTGCAGTGATGGAAATTATTGCCTATACATTCCCTTGCTGACCTCACTATAGCCTTCAGAAGGTAAAAACATCCTCAAAATTCAGGGCCTTTATTCACCTTTTGTGTGGTGACTTAGTTTTGGGCTTTTTTAAAAATTTGCCTCTTTTCCACTTTATCATGTCTAGTCCATGTAGTGTATAACAAGCCCCAAAAGAAAGATTATTTATTGTTCTTGTTTCTGCTATGTCTGATTACTAATTATGCCCATGAAGAACTCCTCACATATAGACACTGCTTCTGGTGCCCATTCTAGCTTGTAACAATTTGCACATTTTAGAGCAACTCCTGTATCTTTTCTTATATAGCATTACCTTGTTATGACAGAGGCTGTGATCTTAAAGTATAGCAGATCACATTTCTCATATACCTTATCTGTAGAAGGATATAATCCTTATTTTGAAAGCTGAGTGCTCTTCCCCACATACACACTTTTTAAAATGCATTTTGAAAATACACACTTGCCATTTGACATAATTTTGAGGCAGACAATCACAGTAAGGCTAATCAGATTAAGAATTACGCATTCCAAAACAGTTTTACAAATTCTATTTGCACAATCCCATGTATAACAGTCTTTAAAACCAAAGTAACAGTTGTATTAGCAGCATACTATGGCAAACTTGGCTTGTTACCAACCTTATTAGCAGCATTAAAAAAAACATTGGCCTCTTGGAGCAGGGCCTTCCTTTCTTCCATACGGCAGCACACCTCTTCCTGCAGCAGACAGATTTTCTGATTTGAAAGCTTCAGATGTTCTTTATCTGCAGAGTCCTCCCAAAGCAAGATCTTAAATCCTTCAGCCTTCAGTAGTTCCACAGTAGAATTCCATTCCTATGACAGATAGGAGGGGTAGTCTAAAAAGGGGATCATACACTGAATTTCCAGCCACACAGCCAGAAACATTATTGACTTGAGACAGGTACTTTAAAATTGATATGCTTTAAAATGGACTGAACTGAATCAGTACAAGTTTGCATGGAGGAGCTTTGTCTGCACTGAATAGTTTGAAGCAAGTTCACCTAATCGAAATTGATTATCTGTATCAACTGCTATTTCTTTTTTAAACTGTTCATCCTAATCTGTCTTGTGTTTCTAGCGTACTGACTCCACTGACACCTGAATATTACCCAACCAAGGCAATACTGCAAATAAGGCACTTTATTGCATGAACAAAATTTTTCTTTCCACATTTTTACCTATGATGAATGCCAGTATGATCTATACTATAACAAGTTATAAAGAGATATTTAAAGAGTATTAGACTAGATAACTCAAACATAAAAAATATTGAAGGGAGTCAAGAAGAAACCTTTCCATGTCTGTCTCACAAGTACTTTTTTTTTTTTTTTTTTTTTGCTTTGCTTTATTACTTTAGAGGAGGCAATAAGGTAGTAAAACTGTTAGATAATGCACTTTGTTCCTACTGTGCTTGTCAACACTTAAGAGGACTGTATTATGCTATTCAAAATAAAAGCACCTCCTGCTGTTATTGTGCAATTTCCCACATCTCAGGCAGCATCTTTCCCTTAACTTTTCCTGATAATTAAATATACTTTGAAATAAGATAAAAACCTTTTTGAAATTCATTTAACATGTCCTTCCCCAGATTTACATCAAATGTCTAGATCAGCAGACAGAAAAATATTTTACAATGTGACAATTGTCCATAAAACTGCTGTAAAGTGTGAATATATCACAGCAAGAACATAGAGCAGGTTTTCTTTTTTCCTTCTCAGCATGCCAGAATAATGTTGGCTTCACAACTTTGGTTTTTTTTAGTTACACTATTGCTAGAAAAAGATGTAGTTTTGAAAGTTTTCACAAAATAAGCCATCTGGTTACTCACAGATCTTTGACAAGCAACTGCAAGCTCCACTATGCTGCTGTTCCCTTCTTTGAAATACAGAAAATGAGATGAGAAAGTTTGGCCTAGGCCAGTGCATTCCTTTTCTGAGACCATCCATGGTTTCACAACAACCAGTATGATAGAAACATTTCTTCAAAGCCTTATTTAATAGAGCCTTCTCCAGATGAATTATAACTGTCCCTCACTATGGACTCAACCTGAAACAGGCAGGCAAGAGACTTCCTACAATGCCCAACTTACTCGTGCACAACACATCTAAGCTTAAGAAGTGTGGTGATTACGGTGAAAAGGACTAAGTTCTCTGAGCTATTTGAAGTTCAGCTCTTTTACAGACAAGCACCTGCAGGCCAAATCCTGCCCACTGTATTTGCTTGCATATAGCAGAAAATGTGCTGCTTTGGAAGATTCAAAGGCCCCAATGAAATTGCACAATTCTCCAAGGAAAACACTCAAAATACCTCACATAAGTATTATTTGAAGCCTTAAACAAGATGCTTTTAGCTTCCGGTGAAGTAGAGAGAGATGAATATGGGGCACAATGAGAGATATTTTTTCTTTTATTTATTTTTCTACTACTGATTAGCATTTAGAGCTAACTCTTCCTTATTTTCCTTTCAAATTAAAATGATCACTCCTAAGCTCAGGATGCAATATTCTTTAGCCTCTAATTTATATTAAGTGAGACCATGCAGTGCACTCTTTAATGCACAATACCTCGTCCATAAAATTCTTACGTTGCATCCCTGCCCAAAGTAATATTCTGCTGTGCTATGCTTATTTGTCTTTATTATTGGAAATGGATAGCACAGAATGACTCTCCATGTACTCATCTTTAATAGGTCTATTTGTGAGCAAGGGGTTTCAAATTAGGTGACTGATACTCAATCCTTCCAGCAACACAATGTCATCATCTTCCATTACTTGCAGCTGGGATGACTGGTACCAAAGGCATCCTATAATCAGGTCCTAATAGGGATTTTATTCACATTTGAACAGTTAAACATACAGATGTTAATGAGAATTAGAAAACAGATGACTGATTAGGTAAAATAAAGTTGCCCATAGTCCTTTTCCAGTGTTCGAAAACAGTTCATTCTAGCTATAAAAGAAGAGCTTTAAGACATCTGCTAGATCTGATAAACAATTGCCAGTCTCCTCTAGAGCTTGCCACTCCCGGGAAAGCCAGTAAATTTGCATCCACACAGAGAATTACATAGGTGCATGGCTAGACAGAGAAGGCGGCCCCGGGCAAACATTTAACTGTCTCACACATTCGATCATTAAGCAGCATCCTGAGACTGCAGTAGAACAAACTGAATCTCTATCACATTAGGACCTGGCACGGCTATTCCAGCTTGAGCAAGTGTGCAGATCTATAACACAGGAAAGAAGCACTCATCATTACATTACTAGTTCTTATTAAAGGTAGAACTGCCCCCTGCCCTGTCCAGCTCTGAAAAGTGGCAAAAACTATGTAAAATGCAATTTTGAATGCTTTTCTTCATCGCTGCAGTTGCTTGGCCACAAAGTGGAGCTAGTAGTTCTTTTTTTATTGTGCCAAGCAATTCACAGAAATGCAACAGAAAGCAGTTCATCAGTGCTAGCAGATGGCTCCACTGAATCACTTTTTCCTAAACAAAAGCTTAGAAAGCAACAGAATCACTCTCCTTTGAATCAGTTTCTCCCCTTTCTATTCTTAAGTCTTACATGTGGGTGAGGGTTTTTCTGCTTTAAACTGTGTATGAATTGTTGGTTTTATCTTTGACCTTGATTCTCATACAAAACATTGCTAATGTTAAGTGGTTTCACCTCTGTCAAAATCATTGCACATTCCAGCTCAGCAACCTGAACTTCATGCCATGATATTGAGTGGAGAATGTGAGAAGCCATTCTTCTATCTCTTGTCAGCCCTGCAAATGGGTACAAGGCTAATCTCTGAGCAATTTAACCAAATTGCTTGTCATGTAAGTCTTAATGCAACAACACATGCCAACAAACATACGTACAGATCTTTGTGTGAGACTGTTCAGAACAACTTTCCACCATCTTCCTCACCATCAGAACAGCTATGCTCATTCAGCATGTCACAGTGACTTATCACCAGATCCTCAAAGTCACAGTATACACAGGCAAAATTCCTCAAAAAGATGCATTTTCACCGCTGCAGGTTGTAATACAGAAATTCCAAAGTGGGTGAAGACTTACTTATGAATGCCCTCCTTACTTCTCACAGAATACCACTACAAACTGCTCATGGACATTCAGACACTATGGGAAAGTATATAGCTGTGTTCAGTTCAAGCAGTACACACAACAGAAAAGATTACTCTTCGATTGCCTCATCAATAATTATAAAAGTTTTAAATGAGAAAATCATAAGAAATACTTTTGTGCATGTGTGGGTGCATGTGTGTGTAATAAGGCAGTAACAGTGAAAAACTTCTCACTTAAACATATGCACCTGCACCAGATACCTACTCATATATACACATATTATATGCACGAATTTGCTCTGTTTTTCAGTTTTGCAGTTGTTTCTCTGATCAACTATCATATTTCTTACTTTCATTTTGACTTCCATTTCATTGTGCTCTTGAATTAACTCTTCATTTTCCAATAAAGAAATGCCTAGGTTTTGCCTGTGAAAATAATCTCTGATGTTCTTCTCGTACCAAGATGTTACCTAGATAAATAACAAAAATCCCAATCATTAATGAAGAACTTCAGAAATAACTGATCAGTCTCTAAAACTTTTAGAAAACAGTATCATCTACAAAGGAAGCCCTATTTTTTTGCCCTATGGCAAAAGCAAAATTAAGTTAGAACTTGACAAAAAAAAAAAAAAAAAGAGCGCATGTTTTTTAACAGGATAATGATATTGCAAATTTTCCCTAAAAATCTCGTGATGCTAAGTCTGAACATTTTACAAGGATACTGAAGTGAAGACTAAGGACATCTCCATCTCTGGCCTGAATAACTTAAGTTAATGACATACTATTACGTCAGTATATCTATATATATATCTATATATAAAAGCTATTATGTAGTTCAAAAAAAAAATCTGAATAGATCTTGCTGAATAAGGTGCTTTGCAATTCAACTAACCTCACAAGCGAAGGTAAGGGTCTTTAACATTCCTCTGACACAATGGGAAGCTTTATTTTGGGAGCACTGCACGATAGTTACAGGGTTATCACAATTAGGAATGCACTGCTGCAGACTATACCAAAATTCGTCTACTTCAGAAAATACTGAAAAAAAAAAAACCCTCCACTTGAGTCTTTTAACTGACCTTTTCAGTTAAATTTGTATAGGTTCCTCCTTCTCTGAGCAAACTTTATACCCAACAACTCTAGGGCTGCAAGACTTTCTGTATATTTGCACTAACAAGTTAGTGAAACTTTTGTGAAGCCTCTCATGGGAAATAAGAATAGAGCTTGATGTTGCTGAAGTTTCTGTGGTAGCATTTGCCTTTATCCTCTGTGTTATCCAATTTGAACCCTGGCAGATGAGCACAAAGGAGAAGGTGCAGGAGGGCATCTCACCTGGTTCTTTTGTTGGTGCCACACACAAACATGTAGAACCTGCTCCAGTCCCTGGCGCTGATGTTTAAGAACTCTGTCCAGTTGCCGTCTCCTGTCTTGTAACAGTTCAAGGAGGTTGTCAATTTTCAAGCAGCTGCTGTGGGCTCCCTGAATCAGTTCAGGATTTGCATTTGGCCCCTCAGATTTGAATCCTTCTATGAATTCAGTTAGTTCTTGACTTTTGTTTAAGAGGGCCAGTGACCTTTCCAGGAGCTCTGTAAGAATAGAATTTCACAGAAAAAAAAAAAAAAAGGTGCTTTTAAATGCAGTGGCATATTCTAAATATTGTTTAGAGCTATATACCTATCAACATACACAAACTTAATATATATTCATACATTGCCCATATACATTATAAACATTGACTTCTAGAAAGTTTATATCCTATGGCATTTCTTAATTAAGAATACCATAATGTGGCAGAAGATGCTTCTCATAGAGGAACAAAGAGAAGCAACAGACAAGAATTTGTCTAGGTGCAGAAAGTTTGTGGTGGAAGGGCAAAGGTCACCTTGCTACCAGAGCTGCAGGGCTGTGGCTACAGAACATCTTAGAACAGACATGACAGCTTGACAGGGATGTAAAACACAGCCCAGCTTCTCAAAGTCAGAGGAAGAATACAGAGAACTAACATATGCAAGCAGAGAACTAACATATGCAGCTGCCAGCTACAGCTCACAGTTCCCATCCTCACTTCAGCACTTTTCCTCAAACCTCACCCCTGAATACAGGAGAGCAAAGGTAAAGCTTATCCCTTGGCCACTCTCAGGAAGCTGCAAGACTCTAAAGGTGGTACTAGAGCTGATTGGAAGCTTTTGCATGGAATTTTTTCCATGGGAAAATCCTAGCTCATTTAGCAAAGTGCTGACTTTGACGAAATTTCCAGTGGAACATACAGATCGTTTTCTAACTTGCTTGCCAATCAGCACTGAAAGTCACCCTAGGCTCTCAGCAGCTCACAGAACCAACACTGCCTTGCCCTGATACACTGCAGCCACAAACATGGAACCACAAGATAGCTCAACAGCCAGGAATTTCACAGCTGTCAGGAGGCCTGCTACAGAGTTCAATTACTGCATCATTTTCTTTTCCCTATTAGAAGATTTTCATATTTGTTCTAAAATGTTTTAAACTCAAATGTCAATGCACACTACCAGGAATGGAATATTGTCTGTACCTTTTGTATGATGCTCTTGTTGCAAAAGAAGTTCTCTCAAAGATTCAGTATTTTCAAACTCTTGGGTATTTCTCAGGAAATCTTCAACTTGGTCAATTTTAACAGCAAACTGCATTATGAAAATAAAAGGTGGGAGGAAACACATCATAATTCTTTTATAGAACTCCAAAATAATTTCTGTATTTTAGGAGAAATTTATGAGAAATTTAAATTCTCAGAAAAAGATAAGCATTTTTAGTGACTGCTGGCTACACTTTGTAGCCTCTGAGCTTCTTCAATCCTTCCGAAGTTCACATTCAGAACCCATATTCAACTTCCGTATCCTATAATTACCGTCTGTCACTTTGTGAATCTTACACAGTCTTCAAATCCATTGACAATTCTTATGGAAGAATCTATGAATTCTAAAGCCTTTTGTGAAGACCTATTTTAAAAGAAGGTTAATGAACTGTTAACTTTGGTCTCATATCCAGGAATTCTCTCATGTTAAAACATTAAATTCCAAACAGCTGAAGAAAATATCAGACATAGATCAGACATTCAAAGCAATCTTGTGACAGTAGCAATGAGTAGCAAGTTTAAACCAATATTATGGTAAAAACATTAGCAGATTATAGGGCAACAGGACTATATCTGTCATAAAGATTGAAGTTAGCAGCTCAGTTTTCCAGATGTTGCATATTTTAATTATTGAAACATGTTGTGTTTCATGGATATAGAGCAGATTTGTTCAACTAGTTCTGCAACTGCATAAGCAAAAGACTGCCAAGATAGTCCCACTATACAGTAATTAAAATGCTTTAAACTTCTGACTTGCCTTACGATTGCGGAGAATGATTTAAAATTGGTATTATCCCTTAGAATGGATATTACTCATGGACAGGTATACTGAAAAATTATTCAGAATACTAATCAGAATTACTAGAAGTTTTAGCACAAAATGGTAAGCCACAAATTTAAAGTATGACTGTCAGACATTCAATATACAAAACACTGCTTGTATTACTCATGCATTTTCAAAAGACTTAAATCAAGAGATAATGTCAGCTAGCAATATATTCCTCCTTTTGTTAATCCTTTTTTTCAGTTGTTTTTATCATCTCTTTTCCATTCCTTCTAAATAATTTCATTGTTATGAAACCAGGCCCTGGCTGCCAAAAGTTTCAATGAAAGCCCAAGACTGGGATTCTTTATTTGGTTTCCATCTGTAAAGGGGCATTTCCTAGTATGATTACTTGGAATGATGATGATCTTGGGTTAGGATATTCAAACATACTAAAAATCTAGACCCAAATTCTGCATCTTAGTCTGGTGTTTATCATTTCTATTGCTTCACTGCAAGCACAAAGAAATCAAGATAGTTTACACTGGTATTTCAGGGTAATCAAAGATGCTGAAATGTACAGTGAAGTTAAGATGAAAAGTTCATTGCTTTTTCTATTACTCCATATTTTCTCCTTCTTGATAGTGTGCTATAAGACAAATCCATTGTATGTCAACATTTGGGATTTGAGTTTTAATTTTCATTAAAGAATACTCTTGAGATTAAGCTTGTCCTTTATCACAATTAAAAACAGATTAATAATCACAGGCTATCTTTTAAAGAAAAATGAAATTAAACAATTTCTATTGCATTCTTTTTTTGCATCTAGCAGGTATGATCTATGCCCTGCCCCAGCTATGTTTTTAGTAACGAAAGCCTGTTATAGGGTCAATTAAAGTACTCTTTACTCTGCACTGGGTCAACCTTTGATTGCATGCAACGTATCAGTGATGCCTGTGTAAAATCTGTAGTAATCTCTTTGTAGACTGTAGCAGGTTGTTGATCTGGAGATCTTTCCCCTCAGAGGTCTTTGGACAGTTTGCACTAGAATGGTTGCTTCTGTAGCTCTGACATTAGATCATTAAAGAAATCAGTGGAGAACCTGGGAGAACTGTTAAAACTCTCTTTTTTCTCCCATGTTGGTGACCTAGTCCTGCTCTTTAATGTATCATTTTGAAATAAAGATTTGAAATTTTCACATTATTTAATTTCAACTTTTGGATTGAGTTTTGCCTTCTTCTGTAATCTAAAGCCCCTACATAACTCCAAGAACATGAGGAGAGCAGAAGGCATGGGGTTACACAGGGTGAGCACAAGGCTGCAGGGTGTGGAAACCCTCTCAGCTTTTGCTCCCTATTGTGAGTTAAGAGATACCCTGTCTGTCCATTTCTCTGTAACAGCAACAGCCTGAAATCCGTCACTGTGCTCACAAAATTGCCACTTGCACATGGCTGTATATGGAGATCTTGAGTAAAGCATTAGCAAATCAAACTAAATTAGTTTCTAAGCATAACTGTAACAGCTGTACATATTTCACTGCAAGATCTTCAGTGGTCAGCAAGCATTAGAGAAGACCTTCAAGAATTTAGCGCTTTCAGTATCAAATAATTTAAATCAAAAGGAATGAAAGATGTTCTGAAGAATGTAATAGTCACTAAATTACATACTTTACTTTTTGGTCCAGTTCCATTTTTCACTGTCCTTTTTCTTTCAAACAAATTTTGTTTTCTTTCAAACAAATTTTGGATATGTCATTAGTAAGATCATTCTGAAAATCTGTATGGTTTTGTATCAATTTCATCTTCTACTACTCAGAAAAGCAGGGGGGAAAAAAAGGATGGAATGCATTAGAAATTCCTTTCTTAAACAACCAAACTTTCAGAGTGCAATGGATATATAAAAATAAAGGACAGGCAAAGGAAAGAATTCTTGAAAGATGAGGGAGTTAGTTTTCAAATCAAGAGTCATTTGCTTTTAAATACAAACCTCCAGAGCATTTTCAAAGAACACTGCTGTAAGTTCCAGAAGTGCCCTCCGCTTCTCCAGCATAATGATGAGGGCATCCCATGCATCCCCAAGAGTCTTGGCCATAGCATCATACACCAGGCTCTGGTCTTTGTTCTCCTCTGCAGCCTTGTCTGCTTCATGCAGCAGGTTCCACACTTGGTCTTCCAAAGTCTGACAAGAAGAAAAAAAAAAGTGAAAAAAGAAATTTGCAAACAGAACTCAAAAGACCATACTGCTGATATTGACCTCCTCAATGTATCTTTTCAGTGGAACTAGCAAATCAAATCCTAATGACAGCAATGTTGCTGTTCTTACGTTTCACGGCAAGCTTCTGAATTTCTTCCTCACTTACAGGCAACATTTTAATGCAATTTTGTTTAAAAATAAGTGTTTAAAAACCCAGGCAAGAGTAATTTGAACAAATGCAAGGGAGGGGGGAACAGCCACCCACAACAATGTGCACTACTTCCTGTTCTGCAACTTTGCTTAAATTGGCCACATATTCATAATATTAATATTCACACAAATATCCATATTGTCAAGAGATTCATCCTACTGTATTTCATTCCTTTCACTAACATCATGAGAAAGATAACTGTTGGGCCATTTCCTGTATGTAAAAACATTTGATTAGCATTTGTTCTAATTTTTCCCCCCTACTTGGGGCATTTATCATGAGCATGAATTAATAAAGTGCCATTTTATTCTGTTATTACAGGTGCTATCAAATAAATGTGTAATGCAAAAATAAATTTATAATAGGCAAATTTAAATCTATCATAGTTCATACTCATACGAGAGCCTGTAATAAAACTAAAACAGGAAAACTTGAAATTCTCCTACATATCAAACCAAAAAGATTGCAGAAAACATTCTGAATTGTTTTAAGCCCACAACCACAATCTCCAAACTTCTCTAGACCTTGTAGACCACACAGAAATTATATTTAGAACTAAAAGAGTTGATCACTTCTCTCTAAAAACAGTACTGAAAAAGCAAGTTTTTATTTTTTCATAAAAGAAACAGTGAAATTATTTTAAGTTATCTCTATACAGAGTCAACTAAGAAAAATTCAGATCAGTTTCATGAGGTAGATACCATCACGCTGAAATAACTATTGATAGAAACTCTTTTATATCTCCATTACACTAGAGTGAGATAAGAATCAGCTCAGGAAAAACAGCTGGCCTTAAGAACCTAAGCCATAGTACTTCGATCAATTTTTATTCAGTAGTGCTTACCTATATAATATATAGGCAGTCATACACTGTTGCAAGTGATTGACAAGTGTTATAAGCAGCAGTCAGAACCCTTAAAGCGTACAGACTCATGATAATTTTATATTGCAGAGATTATTTGGTTGTATGATTTAATAAAATTTAAAAGTCAGCTTCAGCAAACTAATGATAATTGTCAGAGTTAATGAACTGAGCTCATGCAAATTTTTAAAAAATCATATTTGTATAATGATGTTTTTCCCTGGTATTTGCCATGGAACAAGGAAGTTAGCAAAAGGGTAACAGATAGAACCTCTCTTCAAAAATCAGACTACAGTTTATAGAAAATATTTATTTTAAACAGAAATCATCCTCAGAAGTAAACTACAGGCACAATGACAGCATATACTTGCCCATTTGTCCACATTATTTACTCGTTTGAGAAATTCTGGTTAGGTCTTGAAATCGCCTGTGGAAATGGCTTACTTAATTATATAGTTTATTTTGTAATTTATTTTTGTGAAGTATGAATTGAAGTCAATAATTATGAGCAATATGGGCCAAATTAATTACGATGGTAGGTTTAAAGTTTAGTTTATAGACTAAATTTGTTTCTATTGTGTAGCATTTCTGTCACTCAGTTTATTTCATGATATGAGGAGCATACTTGGAAGGGAAATCAAGAATACCCACCATCTGTCTTAGTAACTTGCTGTAGCAAAGAGTACACCCACTTGCTCCAGAAAGCAATAGTACTGGGAGAATCAAACACCAAGACAGCATTTTCTCCAGTGATCGCTGGTCAGCATGACAACTTAATGAAAATGAATAAAATAATTCCAGCTATAAAGAATATCATTATTCTAAATATAAATGAAAGAGTATTGAAAGAAAATTTTACTAGATGCTGTAGTATCATGTGCACGTTATAGTCTCAAATCTACTATTTCCTGTTCAGCATTTATTCTTGGAGTAATAATAACAACATGTCCGTTGTTATTCTAAACCATGAATACTTGAAATGGAGATCTTCTGAAAAAATTTATTTTGTTTTTCATTAAAACAGACATAAGGACCTAATTCCCAAATTCACCAGGACAAATTTAAATTAGTAACTGAATACAACACAATACTTTTTAACTAAAGGAAAGTATTTTGAGTATTTTTTCTTCCTAATATCCTAATGATGTACATACAGAGTTTTTTTTTTTTTTTAGGGATCAAAGTAACATAAAAATTAAAATAAATATAAAAATAAATATACTATGATTTTGTACTTTATCAAATAACTCTTGCATTAAAGTATCATTAGAATAGCTAAATGCCAAATCAGTTTAGTTTTCTTTAAAGGAAAAAAAAAAAAAAAGCTTCCGTTAGCAATGCTGAGTCAGTAACAGCTGCCTGGAACAGAGCGCTGGATTACATTCCTTTTCCTGCAGCATCAAAAATACCACAAACTGATCATTCTTTGCTGTGCCAGATTTTATAATTCCTTACACCTGTGAATCCTCAACATATGAAGCAGAGCAAAAAAATTGTCATGAATATTAATTACAATTTACAGTACTTGTACTGGGATGAAAAGTAATACATCTGAAAAAAAAAATCCAAATGCATCATCCAAACAGACTGAGTTTACAATATAATGTGAGACAAAGACCCAGAATATTTCTATCTGCCAACACGGTCAGATATTCCATAAATTACCTCCTGTAAGTGCACAGGATTTTCAGCATTGATTCTATGAAGTATGAAATAGTAAACATGTAATTCTTCCACTGTGGAGGACTAGTGCCATGTAAATCTCGGTCAGTTCTGGATTTTTTTTTGCCTGTCCTGCACATGAGCCTTATTTTGAATTTAATTAAAGTAATCAGCAAAATAAAGATAAGCATGTGTTTAAGTGTATCCAGGATCAATATCTTAGTGTCAGGAAAAACGATTTATTTTATGAATTTGTTAATAAATGAGAAATTGGAAAACAATTCAAAACAAACTCAGTGTTGCACTACAAAATCATTACTGCTATAATTTACGAAATTATGTTGCTCACAGAGGGTAAGAAAGAACACAAAAGAGAATCAAAACATCATTAAAACAGGTACTATCTAAAAATTGCTATTTTGTGTTGTAGTTTGAGCTTTCTGCTGCCCGCACTTCAAATTTCTTTGTTATGCTCAGATAAATAATTAAAATATTCAATAGAAACATTATGAGCTCTTAGACTTCATCCATCTTCACACAGGAAATGCATAATTCATGAATAAATACTAAGTGGAAAAAAAGTATTATAATAAATACTTCCAGAACTGAGAATCACTCCTGTAAAAAATTTTGATAACTAGATTTAGTAACAGCGGGCTAGATAATTACCAACAAATGTTAACAGCTTACTATATGGAAGGAATGGTCATATTTGATGAAATGCACAGTCAGTAAAAATTACACCAATAATGAAACAAGATATTTGTCACTCATAATCAACCTGTAACAGATAATGCACAGTAAGTTTTTCTGATCGAATCTATTAAACTTCGGGAGACTGAGTAAAGATTAGACATCTGGGTTCATACAATCGCAGTTATAAGGCCTTACAAGTCAGATGAAAAATATTAGTATTTTCACCAGTATTATTTAAAATATTGGTGAGTATTTTATTATTTTAATTTTCATTGTTAGCAGAACAGGCAGTAAACACTGCTACATGAAAAAGAAGCTAAAGGCTTCTTGAACAGTATGCACCTAGGCTAACTGAATATAAATTATATTCATCAAGCAACTGAATCAGCATCAGCAGCATCAAATACATTTAGATTATTCATTTTCTTATAATTTAAGTGATTTGTAACATAAAGAAATACCTAAAACTTATTTTTTAGTTTCAAGATCGTAAAACAAGAATAGGATGGAGCCTGTGGATGCACTTAGGAATTTCATCCACCTATATATCTATATACATATATGATATGTATATAGATATATATGTGTATATATATATATGTATATTTATATTTTTTTTCTCCCTGTTTTCTTTAATACTTGGGTTTCAAGTTGGAGTCTATTCAAAGTGTTTGATTTTTTTACTATCATCGTTAACTGTCATGGTCAAGTTGTCAGTAGCACCTGCACAATTGCTCACAGAACAATAGTTACAGTAATTTTTAAATCAATTTAAAATATTAACATTAATTATAAATGTTTACTATTTTAACATGATTCAATATTAAAATGTAGTTTGAACTTTTTTTGCTTTTAAAGATTAGAATTATATAGGCTTTAAAATTATTTTTGACAAAGATTCAGTTTCTCCAGGTTGTAAGTATGTAAGAACCCAGCTAACCCTGAGCAGTTATGCAGCAGCTTGATCTCCAAATGCCTGGGTCTGACACTGATGGCAGTAAAGATGAGGCACACGCCAAAGTAACAAGAGCAGGGCCACTCTCCTCTTGCTTTTTTTCTTTCATGCTACTCCTCACACTACTTAAAATTCCACTGTATATGCCATACTAGATTACACTCTACATAGATTACCTCCCATATGTTTGAAGTAACTGGGGAAGTACAAGATCACTAATATTAAAGGATGCAAACAGGTATCCACCAGCTCACATTCTTTAATTTCATGCAGTCTCAAGAAAATTAGATAGAACATGCTAAGGTATGCTACCTCATACAGCTCCAAGAGTTTAGAGAATTTTTTTTGTGCGTAGAAATAAATATCTGCCCCGTTGAATCAGGAAGTCGCAGTGCCTTCTGGGATGCCTTTAGACTCATCTTTATGTCGCAATTACACATCTAAAATAATTCAGTTTCTTTCATGTAAGCATGTAATTGCTCAGTGTCTAAATGTCACTGTTGATACATTTCACTTTCAAGAACGCTGCATCTGTAATTTCAGCATTACTACTGGACTAAAACATTCCTTCCTGAAGACAAGCAATACCTGATGCTGAAGTGTCATTCCTGCCATAACTTGCATCAATTAATACTCAATAAAAAATGTGCTTGGAATATCTATTTCACAATTATGAAGAGATTGCTTGTGTTTACTAAACAAACTGAACAAACCTTTCACAACCTGAAGAAAAAAATTAAAGTCTTGAAATTCCATTATATTTATGAGTTACTGTAGCAATTTTCTGATTTGACAGTAATGCATAAACTAAAAAAAAAAAAACAGTGTATCTTCACTCAGGGAGAAGGAGAGAAAAGAAAAAATGAAACAAACAAACAAACAAAACAAAACAAAACAAAACAACAACAAAAAAACACCCTTACCATTTAGCCTGTTTTTCCAGTGCAAACACTTATCTTGGATCTACCTCCCTGGTGGCTGCCCAGAGAGGTTGTGGAGTCTCCTTCTCTGGAGATCTTCCAAACCCGCCAGGATGCCACCCTGCACCACATGCTCTGGGTGTCCCTTCTTGAGCAGGGGGGTTGGACTAGATGATCTCTAGAGGTCCCTTCCAGTCTCACACATTCTGTGAGTCTTTGAATATATTTATGTGAAACCCCCTAAACAAAGAGATTGTGACAAGAAGTCCAGGTACCTATGTCACTGTTGCACATATGTACTGCTGTATCTGAACTGCAAAGGCTAAAATTTTTCTGGGTGGCTTTATCAGAGGCCTTACCTTAAGTTTAGCCAGGAGGAGTTCATGATCTTGCAATAGTTTTTGAGTCTCATCTTGATTGCTGCCAATTTCTAATAAATTTGGTGTTGATTCAGCCAGTTGAAGATTCACCCATTTTCCACACTGTAATAATAAAATATATATATATGTTTCAGAAAATACAGGCTTTCCTTCTTTTGATTTATTCAGACTCTTGCTTTCAGGTTATACATCCATACATACCCAGTTCTCTTCCAGGACCACCTAATCCTCTCTGTGCTACAAAACTGCTGCAGTCCGAGAAGCACTACACTGATAAAGGGCAATGACAGGGAATGAAGCAGCGATGTTGCTGGATCCCACAGCACACAGGAAGATTCACCCTTAAATACCTTAACCTTCCTTGTAACAAATTTACACCCCTACTCCTTGCAGACAAACTCTTCTAGGAAGGGCAAGACCTGAGAGGACAGAACACTCACTCCCTTGGCAGGGCTAGAGTAACAGTGCACCATTCTGAATAGCCACCCAAACCTTTGGTGACAGCCCTAACACATTATCACTTTATGTCGCATTACAGTCAGACTAGCGGCTTCGGCTACAGCGTTTTCCAAGTTGCCTTGAGAATGAAGGCTCTGACTGCCAATAAATTCCAACTGCAGTTGGGCACCTAGAGTACTTTCAGCTTTACTCCACATCCCAAGTTCTCAGCAATCTCTACGTGCATGTTCCAGTTCACAAACAGGCCTCTAGGTGCTCATGAGGACAGCTACAGATGCATAAGGGCTCCTATGAACACATGTGAGAATACAAACTCACAGCTTTAAAAAATAACCACCTGTTTGAGCTGATTTTTCTCAGCAAATACACCAAAGCCGACACGCAAAATCTGTATTTGTGAAGTTGGTATCAATAAGACTACATAGCAGTCTAAGTACAGTTAAAAATAATTTGAATTATGGTTTAAGCTCTTCAAAAGATAATATTCATGCTTATTAGCAAATTTTTGTGGCACCCTGCAGCTGTTACTTTTTAAACTAAGCAAAAGTAATTCCTTGCCTCAACTAGCTTATGCATTTTGGCCAAATTATTCTATTCCAAATGAGAATAGAACAACAGGAACAGAAACAAGCATTAACTTATAAGAAATACTTTTTAAACATTACTTAATTACAGATATATGCTTTGTCATTTATGCTATATGGCTGTTCATTTGTGCAGAACATTTACCCAAGTAATAACCACAGAGTAGCAGAAAAGTACCAAGTCGAGGGCAAAGTGTTAGAGATTCTTGCCTTACCTTAAGTACAGCTATAACTATACTGGAATCCCCAGCCTGAACAGCAACAGAACTGATGGTTGTCGTCGAAAACGTTGGCTCTAAATTGCTTTCATTTGACATTGTGTTTCAAATGAGGACTTCATACATTAAAGAAGTCTTGGTATACCCCTCCAAGGTGCACGACTCATTTCAGAACGCAACAAGCAGGGTTGCTTGGATTCATTCAGCGAAAGAGCTCAGCTAACACCGATTACTCTGCCAAAAGGAAAGAACAGGAGGTTAAAAATAGACAACCCCATTGAGCTTATCGTACTTGAGAGAGAGATTTGACACACCCCTAGTTTGGTAGCATTAAACTGCCTGTTCTTTTTTGTCACCATCTGAAATGTGACGGGCTGCCTCCACAAGCATCACCTGATACCAGATAACTAAAGGAAAAATTATTCTTAAAATAGCTATAATCAGTTGTACTTTTGAAGCTAAGGAGGCAAATCCTATGTCGTGGGGTTTCAAACATTTTAAAAAGCACCTTTGTAAGCTATATTTTCACATTCTGCAAATAATAACTTTTTTTCCCACTCTTTACTGAATATATTTGCTGAACGCAGTTCTTCCTCTAAGTCAAAGTATTTAAACAGGATGAGCACGTTTACATAAATCAGCTATTGAATCAGAGCAGATGGTATTTTTTCTCCAAAATATTTAAATGTATAGTCACCATAACAACTGAAGCAAAGCAAGTACTTCATGTGAATTCCTAACTATTTCCTAATGTTAAGACAATTCCTCTGGTTTTCATTTTAGTTTTGTTTCTGTAGTCTTTATTTTGATCTAAATCAGCAGAGTGGGAAGGCATCTATAATACAGTCTTTGTAAAAACTCAAGTTTAGTTGTTTAAAGCCTGCACTCCAAGGTTTTCATTCATGGAAATAATGGACACTTTTAAATCACAGTATTTGTTCAGCATATTAGTTCTATTGCCAGAAGCCCAGAGCATGCTACAAGTAGCCTACAGTATTAAGCAGCAGCAGCTGTTGGGTTTTCTTTGACAGAACAGCTGAGAAAGTGACACTTGCTGTTTAGGTTTGCAGGTCACTGAGGCAACACTATCCCACGTAACTACAGCCATAACTGCTTCATAAGCATCTGCTTGCTGTATCTGCTTAAAAATATGTAACACTTAGATATATTAAGTTTAGAAGAGAGGATCTGGAAGGCTGGTGTGGCAGTTTAAGTGTAGACATTGCAACTTAACCATTCTGAACTGCAGGAAGCTGGATCTAACAACCCCTTATTTTTCCATGTGCCCCACTTCCAAATTTTTGATGACTGTCCTGAACTACACAGGGCTAGGAAATCAAAACAGGCTTTTTTTCCAGTCAAAGAACACCAACCTTTATGCCAAAACAGAACCATGAACTTTCCAGTGACCAACAATGGAAGCAAATATCACAGAACTTTCTTAAACTACTTGGAATACCTTTCACAGGCCCAGAAGCCTTTCGGACTAAAACAAGCCTGGTATAGATATTCCTAAGTTTCATGCAAAGATATTAACCAGTAATCCTTGAGACAAGATAGGCATTTGGTTAACTGGTGTGGCAGAACAAAATGTTTAAAATTTAATGGTCACACAAAATTTGAAGGTAGAAGACATGAGGAAAATTTTAAAACAGAATATATAGCCTTATTTTGCATCAGGAAAAAAAATCTTATAGCATGACACAGGCACAAAGCTGAGAATTTGGGGACTGCAGCATTATTATTACTATTATTATTGTATTTTTTAATCATGGACAAGCGAACAAAATTTAACAGCATATGCATGCCTTTCTCAGTCTTGTTTACTTACCTGTCAAACTTCCTCAATCTGAAGCAGAGACAAAACTGCCAGAAGCCAGGAACAGGCAAACTGTGTCAGAAGGGTAAATATTTTCTCACAGCTAGTGTTTTGTGAAAGACAAGAGGAAGAACGGCACCAAGTGGAAATGGAAGTATTCATCATCTGTCTATGAAAAACATGGACATTTAACAAATGAACTAAGAAAACCCCTGCAAGTCTGCAGCCACTGCTTTTTGTGGGGTCCTACTTTTTCATCCGTTGGCGCCATTTTCTGGTGGGCTCAAGATCCTCATGGGGATGGTCTTAAGGGAAATGACCTGGAAGCCCCTGGATTCATGCAGAGGGAAACATGCCTGATAGAGGGCACATGCAAAGGTGGGGCAGGAGAGAGGTAATTCTCCTTAAGGGGCCCCTCTTCGCTAAACACTCATTGAGCGAATTTCCAGCAAAACAAGCTGGTTGAAATAATCCTGGCCAAACCTCTTTGTTCCTAAAAAAGCAAACCCAAATACAACAAAAATCAGTCTGGCAGCCCTGACAGACAACAAAGGGAGGAAAATCAGATGTCTCCTCCTGAAAGAGTCAAAAAGTAAATATAAGTCAAATGAGGAACATGCAACTACTTACTTGGAAATGACTATGCTATGACTACTTTGAAACTAACCAGAGAAGGCTGCTGGAAAATGGAGGGGAACTGAGGCGTTGGAGGGGAGCCAGTCATAACCATTTTTCAAGCAAAGTCAGTGACGATGAGACCAGGGCGGGTATGGGCTGGCCGTTCCCTCCCTGAAGCCCAGGCTGCAGGCCGGGGCCATGCGGCTCCCACAGCAGCTCCACAACATTTCGCTCCCCAGCACACCACATTGTGGTGGGACCATTTGCAGTTTCACTTGATCAGATAAAATTGGCTGGGCCTTTCCCTCGGTCCAGCGCACAGCCACAACACGAGTCCTCCCTCTGCTCCCTCCCGGGCCTGCGCTGAGGGAGTGGTGCGGAGAGGCCGGGCGACGCCAGGCACAGCCGCCTGTTGCCCTCAGCATGCGGAGCTGCACAAGCAAAGCAAGCTGCGAAAAGCAGAACACACCAAGGATCAAAACACCAGCAAAACACTTAACATTTCTGGTTAAGTGCAAGAATACACACGGTATCTGCTGTTTGTTTGCTTCCATGGACAACCACATTTAAAAAAAACCCGTAAACAGACTTGGGCAGTAGTGACAGCTGATATGCCTGTTGGTGCATTGATCATTAATATTTCATGTCCTGTTCTTTACTCTCCAGCCCTCTCTTCTCCCTGCTTCCCTCTTTTTCAGATACTAGAGGATTTCCACAGGCTATTTGTACCCAGCACTTGCCAAAATAGTACCTGAAGCCCTAACATGTCCCAAATAACACAAGAGTTCCTCCCAGTTTAACTCGGGTTTATGAGCCCATGTGTCACTGCAGCCTCCTCTCATATTTTAAGAAAGCTCATCTAACCTTTAAATTTAGATCTCCAGCTAAACCATGAATAGATAGGGACCATTCTTTCTGGCATGTGTTATTTAAAAATTTGCCTTCCTGGTCTTTACCTGGCTCATATAAGGGGGAGCGAGCAATGCTGACACATAGCAACAGCTCAGGTTTCTGGTCACCATGATAATGTTATTTGAATTCCTCCATAGAGTCACCAGTGAATCAATTTGTTTTCAAATATACAGAAATAACAAACCGAGTTCTGTTGTAGCCTGCTTATCTTGGTCTGCTTTCTTCTTATCTTGTCAGCTTAGCATGGTTCAAGAGCTACAGCACAGAGAACAGAGGTGTTGGGACTGAGAGCTCCAGCAGCAGGAAAACACATTTCTTCTTTGGAAAAGGCATGAAAACTTCAGTGCTTCCAAATAGCATTTCCTTTCCTTGTTGAATCTTCTTTATGGATTATTTACTCACAAATAAGCCTAATGGCTTTTCCAACACTACAATAAACTGAAGAGCATGAAAACACCTGAGGGAATGAAAGAGATAAAGTGAGAGGAGCACCAGTCTCCACAGTCAACTCTGAGACCATTGGCAGCTCTGCCTGATTAAAGGGTGCGTCGTTAAGCTGACTCATCTGAACAGATGTCTGCAAACACATTAATTACTTACTGTCATTTTTCTTTGCGAGTTTTATTTTATTTTGCTATTGGATCCAATAAAAAAAAATCAAGTCACATTTATGCCTTTCCTTAAAGTTGCAAATAATGGAAAGACTGAAAGGAAAACATACCTACATTTGTCAGCCATTCAAGCGTCAAATAACAACAAAAATATAACTGAGTTTTAACAGCTTAATAGAGTGAAAAGACTAAGCAAAAAAGAACACTCAAAAGTGTGAGGTGTGAAACCATCTATGCCTTCTCATTTCATGGTGGAGAAGTGGACCTGGGCGTCCTCCCGAGGTTACTGAGGAAGTGGCAGCTGAGGCTCTCCCCACCACAGTATCCTCCAGTTCAGACTCACCTATCAGCGCCGCTGGGGACGCTGAACATTTCCGCCTCGCTGGGAGGTGTCCAAAGCAAATGGCTGCCTGGCCTATGGGTCTTTACTGATGAGTACAAGAGTGGAGCAGTCGTAGCAGCCAACTCGCAGGTGGTACAAGCACTGCTCAGCACAATCGCAAGCTGGTCAGTGGTGAAAACTGTGGCCTGGTCTGTTCAACCCCGTTAGGGGGACAAAGAGACCCTGGGCAACTCATGAATCCATCATTCAGGCTCCACAAGCAGCAGCAGGGAGAAGACTGGTTATTACACGTAGCCTCATTCAAGCGCATCGAGAAAGCCAGCAGGACTTTTGTTGCTAAATTCTCAAGGAGCATTTGAAATTCCTTTGCGATGTGGTGCGTTAGCACAGCAGCACCGGCACCGTGTACCAAATATAGGCGTGAGTGAGACGATGTTTTCTCCCTTTAGAGAAGGAGGGCCAAGAGGCAGATTGCAGCCCCGGTCTGTATTTGAGGCAGCTGCACGCTGTCCCACTAACAAGGCAGTTATACAATGCACATGTTACCAATTCCTGCATTCAATTTATGTTTACAACTTAGCTGTATAGAAAGGCTGTTCCATGTAATTATTTTTTTTCAGTACTTACATTAAACATCAATTAAAATCATATATGCTGCCCAAAGAGGCATTATTTGTGCAATTGGTTTCTTAGGAGCATGCTTTAAGGAAAGGATATCTCTGCTTAACCTTAATAAGTCAGAATTGATGCAAAAAAGACCAGTATGAGTCACTCATTTAACCAGAAATTAATTAGT